GGTGACCAGATAAGAAGCCACCTGGGCTGTGCAGGAATAGTTCTTCAAGTCACAGTACAGGCAAGGACAAGCAGAAGAGTGGTCTAGGCAAGCCAAACTGCTACAATTCATCAGAAGGTTGCTCACTACTGACTTAACACGTAAGCAAGCTAAGGGAATGGCCCTGGAGTGACTTTTCCGCATACCTGGGCAACCCTGTAACGCAAATCCGACATCAAGAGAGTTTCCCGCGGACAAACCCCCTATGCCTTTGAGGAACACCAGCTCAGTTTCCTCAATGACCTCAGTCGCCCAAACTCCCTTTGCCTTTGAGGAACACCAGCTCAGTTTCTTCAATGACCTCAGACGCCAAACTTTGCAATGGAGAGCTTCCTTTAGAGGAATAACCTCTCAACTTCGAGCCACTACAAGTGAGGCTACCACAGGGCACTCATTGCCAAACAAGATGGCCTTCGACACAGGCTGAAATCAACGGCAGATGCCTCAAAGTTTTTACAGTCACACACCAAGTGGCAGCCACATTTGTTTGAGTTTTTCCTTTGCTCTTGATATTTGCCACTCCTAAGTCAGTTCATTATGCTGTTGATCTTTTATGTTTTTATTTATTATTTTTTCTGTTTGTTTTGTGTTGTTTTTTAAATCTCTGAAATCCTGCATATGTACTAGAAGCATAACAGAGCTCCTGCTGAAAAATGAAGCTTTACTGGGCACCCTAAACAATGACCATTGTGATGGACGGAAATAAATGTAGGTAAAATGTCTATTTGTTATATGCACCTGTGCTCATTCCCTACTCAAAATGGCCGCTAGAGCACCCTCTCCCATCGACCAAAAACACTCGTGTAACAAGATGGCGTCTCCATCCAGAGCTCCGCCCAAGATGATGATGACCTCAACACCCAGAGGAAGTAACCAATTAAAAGTTTACATTTCATGTTTGCACACGATGCATTCTTTTGTCTCTTTAAGGGGCTACGCCTGCTCCTAAATAAACAGTTTTGGAGTTTTAATTCATCTGAACTTTGGTGTCAGTGTGATTCTTCAGCGTGCAAGCATCTCATTTTCAAAATCTGGACAGGGGGAGATACTCAGGCAGACACTTGGTCCCCCCCTTCCCCTAGAGTATTTATAATTCATGAAACCAACCATAGGTCACTGATCTGAGCAAATAAGTAGAGCTTCCTTCTGCACAAATGGCATCTCACATGCACCCCATAGTAAGCTTAGTAGAGCCGTCCACGGCTTCATGCACTGACAAGCACTTAACACGCCTCAACTAACCCTTCCAAACACCTCTAGTTCCATAGGACCCCAGGTGACTCAAACATCCTACTAGCCACATTTACACCACTACCTTAATCTACAGCAAACAAAAAGGGAACTGGCCTCTTACACCCTAAAGTTTCTCCTAGACATAATAACAGGGTTTTTAATTGTGAAGAAAATAGACTGAGTTCGGTATTTTCTTCTGTGTTTGTGCTTTTCTGCAGCATTTTGTTCATTTTGGATTTACTAGTTTAGCAGTTTAAAACTACTGAACACGACCACCCTCCTGGCTCATTAACGCTCTCTGGGTGGCCGCTGTTCGTATAGCCGAATGCCACGTGGAACAGAAAACGCCAGCCATCTTGTTTGCACGAAAGGAGGCAGCGGTACTTGGTAGTCGAGTGTCTGGAACTAAAAACGGACACTCGACCTCCCGAACCACCGCTGAAACTACCGAACGCCTGCTTCCTTTAGTTGCCAGGAGAGCGCCATTCGGTAGTTTGGTTCATACGAACAAGGGGAACAATCGCTCCTATGAGCCAGGAGGATCCATTCGGGACTTTTATTCGTTTTATGCCATTTACTGAATTAACCGACCGCACACGCTGAATTCGTGGAACTGTTTTGGGCAGGAGCCTCGTGTGTGGTCAGTAACTTATGACTTCCATACTTTTTAAGAACCCCATAACCGATCTGGGTGAAATTTGGATATGTTGGTCCCTCAGATCGGGGCTATCAGGGGATATGTTGTGGGGATACCTTGTGTGGAAAGGGGTGTTCTAATTTTGGGGGAAATTGTGTGCCCCCTGCCCGGAGATAATTGAGTTATTCCTTAACTTATCTCAATATCTTCCAGGCAGAGAGAGGGCGGGGGTTACTGTAAATCTGTATGTTGATTGGTTATTGTCTTTGTTTACTGTGGGAGGTCCTCTTGCAGGAGGATTCTCATAAAAGCCAGCGTGGCCTCAATAAAAATCATTCCTGTTACATCCTTCATGAAGTCTAGGCTCATGCTTGGGGAATATTCTACTTGCTGGGGAGAATCGTCTTGGAAGCTGCATTCATCTACACTCTTCCTCTATCTCCTAACTGCAGTTATAATCACTTATGCTCAGCTATTGGGAAAGGAATAGAAGACCACAGTACCATAACCACCATAAAACATTAATAAACTATTGTTTACTGTCTTTGTTTAACTGTGCCAGATTCAAGGTTTTGGGCTTACTGCCGCCACTGCAGCAATGAGACAGCCTGCTCTATCACTGCTCCAATGACCTATACACCGGTATTCCCACACTAAAAGCCCTCCTCACAACCAGCTCCAGCTGACTCTCACAATATGTCGAGAAGACATAAGTTTCAAGTGAGAGGTATTTTACCAGCAAACATTTCAACCACTGACCACTAACAGGTTAACTCATCACCTGTGTTATATTTATTGTATTCCATTGCAGTACCGCACCCCTTAGATATTTGTTGCATTTTGGTACCCACCATGCCCGGTGCATCCAAGAGGGTCCAACGTGATGTAGTGGTAGGGGTAATGGTGTATTTTGGAATTGTGCTGCCCTAGGCACGACTAAATTGTGGTAAATACAGCGCTGGGTAGGGAAAACTCTCACTTGGAACTACCTACGTGGTACTTGTTACGTTTATATGGGTGTTACTGATAGGTTCTACTAATATCAATGTCTCTAACTAGGTGTGCATCTTCCTCTGCACATATTACCCTTGTAAATTAAACCTACTTAAATGCATGCTGTTCTACCTTACACTACTATTCTAAAAAGACTAAAAGATAAACATCCCATTCTAAAATTGTTCAACATTGAAATTATATATTACTCCTTAAATTTTGTGACCTGTAATTACCAAAAAATAAACTGAAACCCTAGAAATATGATGTACTCTGTAAGACAGGGCAAATAAATGAATTTATTTTGAATTACTTTTCTTAAGCTGCAATAATTATGCACACATTATTATTGTAAAAAAAGAGGGGGGAGGGAGGACGAGAATGTATATATGTATATGTCACATCAAAACTCTATTAAAAACGGTATATAATATGGGGCACTAAATAAGAAAGATGGAAGTTGCGGTTGACACACACATAGCAAAAATTGGTTTGGTACACCAAACAACTTTAGCTTAATGAAGCAGTTTTGGTGTGTAGATCATGCCCCTGCCATCATACTGCTCAATCCTCTGCCATTTAGGAGTTAAATCCCTTTGTTTATGAACCCTAGTCACACCTCTCTGCATGTGACTTGCACAGCCTTCCATAAACACTTCCTTTATTGCAAATTATGTTAACATTAGAATTTCTTATCTCCTGCTCTATTGGTAGCTTGGTAGACCCAGTGATGTATTTAGAATTTGGGCTGCCCTAGGCAGGACGGTGCTCGGGCATCCCCCCCTCCCCAATTTAAATTTTCCCCACCCCTTCCTGTCAAGGCCACACTTTGACAAACGCTCACTCACTGACAGACGCATACACTCATTGACAGACACACACTCTCATATACACTGACAAACAATGACACACACACACTATTACTTGGACACACACTGACAGATGCAGGCACTCACTGACAGACACATACACACTCACTGACCCACACACATTCACTCACAGACACACATACACACTTACAGACACATACACACACACTTACAGACACATACACATTTCTCCCAACACTTGCAAATTATTATTTTTATTTTATTTTAAATCCACCCAGCCTCCCTGGGAGAGCTAGAGTGGATTGGTTACCTATCCAGTGGTGCTGCTGGTTGGACAGGCAGAGGGCGCACAGGCTGAGTTGGTGGCGCTTACTGATGCCGGGAGCCGGTCTGACGTCATATTCCGTCATAGCACTGATTTGTGAGCTGTCTCTGCTCAGCTCCCTCACGCGCCGCAGAGTGATGTCAGGAGCCGGAATATGACTTCATATTCCGGCTCCCAGCATCACTCTGCGGCGCACGAGGGAGCTGAGCAGAGACAGCTCACAAATCAGAGCTCCCTCGCCAGCGCCACCCGCCCGCCTGGATTCTTAGTTAGCCGCTAGGCTAACAAGGTATTTGCCTGGGCATTTGGAAATTGCCTCGCGGCAAATACGTCCCTGGCTAGACCTTGCAGTAACCTCCAGTAGGTCATTAAAGTTCAATTTATGGAGCAGGGGATAAAAACTTCTGAACTAAGTTAACATCTGACTGAAAGTGAAAATAACATCCTTTGCATTGAAAAAGGGCTTGTGCCTGAAATGTTTGCCCGTCTTTTATGTCCTTAAAATAATAATAATTGGAAGCACATTGGTGCACACTACAACTGGAAGCGAAGACCTCATTTTTTGTAACTAAAAAATGCAGATCAGGAGAAACTGTTTGTATTTTCAATTCTTTTGGTATTGCAATTACCTATGCCTCTACTCCTTTTCTCTATGTTGGTTAAGTAACTAACCCTGCTAGTAAAACAAACTGTCTCTTCGCCATTCACATGTCAGGATAACTGACATGTTAACAGAGTCCATTAGTAAGGATTTATGGCCCTAATTGACCAATGGTTTAACCGTCCTTCTGTTAACGATAGTTTAGCAAAAAGGAAGGACAATATTGAATACGCCTGCACATAATTTAACGTTCGCTCAGCTTAACCCTATTCCATTACATTGATTGTTTTTCAGATAAATAACTTATTCTAAAACTAAAAACGTAAAGAAATAAAAGCACAGTGGCAGGAAAAACTGCAAATTTTAATGATTTCAGTATTATTATTATTTTTTTAAATATTGTTCCTTTCAATGAAACAAGTACATACATAACTTAGCTGAGATTTCACATGAGTTATTACATTACAATAAAATGAACAGTTGAAAGTAATCATTTTGTAGCAATTACACATTTTTAGACTGGAATTGCTTTATAAGGCCCACAATCCAACATGCATTTTGCGTTTTTTTTTTAAGTTAATGTTGGTGTGTGTGTTCTCTGTTTGTTTATAGTCATCCTGCTTCTGGATGGTTGTGATAACGCTAACTTGATACCAGTGCCGGACTGGGAAAAAAATTCGTCCCGGACATTTTTTAATTACAGCGGCCCACTACAAAGGGGGCGGGGACAGATAGGGTGTGTTTTCTCGTCACCAATGACAAGCACGCCCCATCACAAAGTGAGCATTTTGGTTCAATGCTCTTCCAGGGTAGACCATGCGCAGAGCTCTGCTGAAGAGCTCTGGCATGAGAAAGAGACCCTGTATTTGTTCTGCACAGCGCAAGCAAATTCAATAACATGCTTGCACTGTGTTTGCTTGAAATTTGTCTCTGGTGTCTCCATAGTTGGGATACCAGGAGACAAAAATGCCAGGAAAGCATATTGTGCAGTGTGTGTGAGGGTGTTGTGTGTGTATGTGAGGGGTGCAGTGTGTGTGAGGTGTGTAGTGTGTTAGTGATGTGTGCTGTGTTTGCGTGAGGGTGCTATGTGGGTAAGGGTGCTGTGTGTGTGTGCTGTGTGTGATTGGGTGCTGTGTTTGCGTGAGGGTGCCATGTGCGTATGAGGAAGCTGTGTGTGTCAGGGGTGCAGTGTGTGTGTGTGTGTGTGTTGGTGTTGTAAGTGTTAGGGCTGCAGTGAGTGTGTGCTGTGCGTGTCAGGGGTGCAGTGAGTGTGTGCTGTGCGTGTCAGGGGTGCAGTGTGTGTGTGTGTGTGTGAGGGTGCTGTAAGTGTTAGGGGTGCAGTGTGTGTGTGCTGTGAGTATCAGGCGTGCAGTGTGTGTGTGTGTGAGGGTGCTGTAAGTGTTAGGGGTGCAGTGTGTGTCTGCTGTGAGTGTCAGGGGTGCAGTGTGTGTGTGTGTGTGTGTGAGGGTGCTGTGAGTGTCAGGGGTGCAGTGTGTGTGCTGTGAGTGTCAGGGGTGCAGTGTGTGTGTGTGTGTGAGGGTGCTATAAGTGTTAGGGGTGCAGTGTGTGTGTGCTGTGAGTGTCAGGGGTGCAGTTTATGTGAGTGTGTGAGGGTGCTGTAAGTGTTAGGGGTGCAGTGTGTGTGTATGTGAATGAGTGAGGGTGCTGTGAGTGTTAGGGGTGCAGTGTGTGTGTGTGTGTGCTGTGTCAGGGGTGCAGTTTATGTGAGTGTGTGAGTGTTAGGGGTGCAGTGTGTGTATGTGTGTGTGTGAGTGTTAGGGGTGCAGTGTGTGTGTATGTGAGTGTGTGAGTGTTAGGGGTGCAGTGTGTGTGTATGTGAGTGTCAGGGGTGCAGTTAATGTGAGTGTGTGAGGGTGCTGTACGTGTTAGGGGTGCAGTGTGTGTGTATGTGAGTGACGGTGCTGTGAGTGTTAGGGGTGCAGTGTGCGTGTGTGTGTGTGTGCTGTGTCAGGGGTGCAGTTTATGTGAGTGTTTGTGTGAGTGTGTGAGTGTTAGGGGTGCAGTTTATGTGAGTGTGTGAGGGTGCTGTAAGTGTTAGGTGTGCAGTGTGTGTGTATGTGAGTGAGGGTGCTGTGAGTGTTAGGGGTGCAGTGTGTGTGTGTGTGTGCTGTGAGTGTCAGGGGTGCAGTTTATGTGAGTGAGGGTGCTGTGAGTGTTAGGGGTGCAGTGTGTGTGTGTGTGTGTGCTGTGTCAGGGGTGCAGTTTATGTGAGTGTGTGAGTGTTAGGGGAGAAGTGTGTGTGTATGTGAGTGTCAGGGGTGCAGTTTATGTGAGTGTGTGAGGGTGCTGTAATTGTTAGGGGTACAGTGTGTGTGTATGTGAGTGAGGGTGCTGTGAGTGTTAGGGGTGCAGTGTGTGTGTGTGTGTGTGTGAGGCTAGAGTTCACTCTCGCGAGATCCAGTCGTTGCCATGGCAACGCTCCGGATCCCGCGAGAGGAACCCGGCGGAGCTGCAAGATAGAGCTCCCCCGGGTTCCTCTGCTGGCAGGCTGGCTCCCTCCCTCTCTCCCCGCCGGCGGCCGCACTATCCTGCATGTGGGCCGGTGAGGGAGATCTTTGATCTCCCCACCGGCCCGCCGTGGACTGTTGCAGGGCCAGCGCTCGGATAGTGCCGGCCCTACAAAGACCGGCAGGGGAGATCCTGGAACCTCCCCTGCCGGCCTCGGCCCATGGCCACCGCGGCCCACCGGGCATTTGCCCGGTGTGCCCGATGGCCATTCCGGGCCTGCTTGATACTATAAAAGTTCACCAAATTGGGAATCATTAAGAATTGGCAAAATGCTATTGCAAAAGAAAGACCACAATAGCTGAACTGGTTAAAAAACAAATATCCAACAGAGCTGTTTTTCCAGTTTGGCTATTTTGACATATAAATGCCATTCCCTGATCAGTTTCCCACAATTCCCAGTTTAGTGAATAATACTTGAGCAGATTTTATTCCAATAGACTTATCAGAAATACCCAGGACGTCCTTGAGCCATAAACCAGGTGTCTTTCCATACAGTGCCTATAGATGTTTATATGCACAATTTGTACATTTTGGAATCTTGGCTCGGAGTGACATTTCATGGAGCTTTAATTACTGATGAAAGAATTAACCCTGTCAGGCCTGGGATTAGGGAAATGCCCTACTAGCAGCATAGTCAACGTCAATGGTCCTACAGAGATTAATCATATGAGCTTTTCCCATTCTTTTAATTTAGTTTTATGATGCAAGGAAAGCATTTCTGTAGGTTGAAATGGTTTGGTTGCCATGCCTGCAAAAAAAATGTTCCATAAGTGTCCCTATGCCGGACTTTACAAAAATGCAGGGATAGAAAGAGATTACAAATAGTCTCATTCTTCCCATTACTGTTAGCAGTGCCTTGAAAAAGTAGTCTTCAGTTTATTGTCCTGAAAGGGCTACCGTGCCCACTCCTGCTTTTAGACGTGGTCAGGGTGGTAGGAATCCATATGTGCAGTGTTTCTGCTTCAAACGCTGCACATTCACAGGTGTTTGCATTTTTCTGTCGGGGGTCAGTTACCATGTGACTTAGTGAGCCCTTAACTCTGTTCCAGACTCCCTAATGTTAATTCTGAGCAAAAAATACTCCTGTTGTCAGCACACACTGCCCGCTGACGACAGAAGTTAGCCTCTCCGTTTCTGGGCAAGCCAGGGAAGGCTAGATCCCCCTCCCTCCTCCTTTATTTGAGCAATCCCTGCCATTCCAGCCTTCCTATAGTGATCCTCTTTTTTTTCTTCCCTGTGACTACCCCCACTCATTCCCTCCCTGGCTCAGCAAGAGCATATGCCTTCAGAGTCAGGAGAATGGTTTAATCTGTCCCCCTGGGGCAGTTTGCTCCAACCCTTTCAGTGTCATCATGGCACAGGACATTGGTCCAATCCCAGGCATCTCATTTGGAAGCATTGTGGACCATAAGCGCATGCACAGCTCACTGCAATGAATTTGCTCTCATCGAGCATTATTGTATGCTATAGTTCTCTATGTGAATCCGCTAATTCTAGACGCATAGAAGCATAGATCTGCCGACATCAGCATGCTACCCGTATTTAGAAAAATGAGGAATTGGGGAGGGGGCACACCCAGAACAAGTATGTCTCAGTAATGGTGCTGCCATAAAGACCAATATTTACACAAAATACTGATTAAGGGAACAGCACACACAAAAATACAGGTATACAATTTACAAGTCCATTTAAATTCACCTATTTCAGCAAACAAATATGGGATTCGGTTCCACCATATTGCCATATTATGTTAAATGAACATTATAGCATTAGGAATACAAACCTGTCCCTAACTTAGTAGGTCCTCCCCCTCCACAAGAAAACCCTTTTAACACTTACCTCTGTCCAGTGCCAAGTTCCTTCGGCCCTAGATTTGCCTCTTCCCCCCGCAACATCATGCCAATGGGGGAACCTAAAGAGCAGGAGCGGCAAACACAGCACGCACATTAGAGTGTTCCCGCAGGAAAGCGTTGAATCAATTCTTTCCTGTAGGAATTTTCAAGATGCTGGTCGTCCTCATGCAAAGCGGGAGGATACCCAACTGCTTTTCACGGAATTAAACTTTAAGTACCACAGTTTGCCTTAACCCTGCAATGTAAACAGGGTTAAGGGAACATGGACACTGCACCCAGACCACTTCAAGTATTTGAAGTGATCTAAGTGCCTATAGTGTCACCTTTAAGCTCACCACAGTACCCCATTATCTGTGGGTCCTAATTTTAATATGACAGACCAATAGTGCTAGATGAATATAACTTGAACTAAAGTGCATTTAATTATTTAATTGCAGGTACGCTGTTAATATATCACTCAAAGTATGCTACTCTTGTTGGCTTCACAGTATGATTAAATATGAAAGTCAGGAAGTTACAGTCCCGACTTGGAGGTATGGCTTAAAGCTTTCAAGCCTTCAAACAATTGAGCCAGATCGAGTTGGAGGATCAATAAGAATAAGTTGTTGTAGTGCCTACAGTGTTCCTTCAAAGATATATGACATATGAAGAGAAACAGTCCAAAGTAGATACAGAATAGTTTACGTATATAATTGGTGTGGAATAATTTCATTATTCAGCTTGAGACCATATAATTATGATGTTAGCCTTCCTAGTTGGTCAACGCAATCAATAGAATGCAAGCATTAATCTACTGGATTTACTGTATTTAAAATGCCTAAATAACAGAGTTTCTAAGTAAACCCAGCAGGGGATGTGGGACACTGTACTTTGCTCTCAGTTCATCGGGTGACAAAATGTGTAGCCCATCTACGGCCAAAATATGAACAAGCTTTGCCTGGATATAGGAGTGCATCAGGTCCTGGGACATAAAAGAACAAGTCTCTCCAATCACTGTTTCCTAGTCTTGTAAGGTGGTTAGTCTTGCAAACGCCAGCAGCTGGTTGGTGAGGAGATCCATGCCTTTGGGTCTGGTACATGGTGCATCAAAAAAATAAATTATTTGGGGATAGAAGAGAGCCAGGGCCCCAGGAGAAGGCCTCTTAAAGGAACAAGTTAGATGTGTTCCTTTACTAGATTAGATTGTTGGGTCCTACTTTTTTAGAAAAACATTCTATTTATTCTCGATTTTAAATTCAATAAGAAGCATTGGAAGCGCATCCAATATTAACATGCTGACACTGGACATAATAGATTTCACTTTAGTGGATGCTCCTAAAGACTGTCTAAATGACAGCCACTAGAGGTGAGGGATTTGCAAAATACAGGCAGTGCCATTTCCCAGAAATGGCACTTTTTTCATCAGCAAGTCCACAAATTAAAAATAACCAACTTATGTGCTCAGACTGTCTCTTTAACTATTTTTAGGGAGGCTGTTGTCTAGCACAAGAAAAACGTCCATTAAAAATGGACTCCATCATGCCATCCCAGAGAGTTGGGTACAGAACATATTAATAAGTGTCAGACAAGCCTAGGGACAGGCAAACTCTAGCACTCCAGCCTTCAATACACTTGCTGTCATTCACACTATGTTATAGGACACCTTTCCCTAAGGATTTATCCTTTTGCTTCCAAGATCAATGTAAAATACTATAATTGTGTGAATGTTACATTACCTAGCTAGTAATGTAACAGGAGCAATGTAAAGGTGACAGTGCTGTTATTTGTTATACTAAGTTCCTGTCCAGTGAATGATAGCAACACAGCAGCGTGGAGATATGTAGCTGGTGGAAAGTAGAATTTGTATAATATGTCAGCTGCTTGGACTGGATTGTGTTCCATTTCCTTCAAATCAGCCACTTCTCTCTGTATCCTTATTCCATGCTCCTGTAAAAACAGTCATTAGGTCTCCACTGATTGTAGATGCTTTAAGTGGTCCAGTGTATCAAGGCTACTCGATTTCTTCTGTCCATTGACTTTGACTTGTATAGGTTTTTTAGTAGAAGACCTGTTGGGACACAAGCATCTGTATTCAGCAAAAAAGTTGCACAAAAACATGTTTTAAACTGATATGTACTTACTGCTGAAAGGGTCACTCTAAGCACCATAACAACTTATTATCATTCATAGATTTTTACAGTGAAAGCCCTGTGCTTTTCTCTATCTGTAAGGACGCATGTTATATCCCAATTTCTCCTTTATAGCTATAATCACAAAACAGTGAGTGAAGCAGTAATTAAACTTAAAAAGAAGATTATAGCGTTAAGAATACAAATCAATCCCAGCCATCCATTGCTGTGAGGGATAATGCTTCCTTATTAGCAGTGTTAGATGCACTGTTGGGGACTCTTGTCTAGCATGACTAAACCATTAAAAAATGTTTGACTCTGAATGGAATGACAGGGCCAGAGTACTCCAGACACCATAGTGAGACGAAGCAGTTACACTGCCCACAGTGTCCCTTTAGAGTTTGGAGCAACAGTTTCACTCGTTTTATCTGAAAGCTGCAACTGTTGCCAAGTGCTAAACTACATATCCCATGAACCCCTGCTGACTAGCTTGAGCAGTACTCCTGAGACCCAAGGATTTGCTGTTTACCTGTGAACTTCAAAGTGGGCATTTTTGAATGTATCTATTCTATTTTAATACAGGGCTAGAAATTACAACACCTTATATTACTAGATAAGTAAAAATAATATAATCACCACTGCAAGCCTGGAGGGTCCATGGCACACTCACCAGGTGAATTCCTGCTCACCAGGGCTGATAGATGGGGTGAACATTTTTGAGCCCTGTTTTAATATATTGTCTATATTATTTATTTTAAAATCAGGGGTCAATTGTCAGATTCTACTAAAAGGTTCTTCAGACAGACTGGATGTTGTGAAATACTTTTCAGGTCCATGTCCTCCCTGTGGGCACTAACAGAACAGTTGAGGTGTGAATTTATATTGTTTATTAGAAATATAAACCAATGTTAAATTAGACTAGATGCTAACACTGGATTAAAAAAAAACAAAGAAACAGTAAAACTATTAATATACTAAATGTATGAACAACTTCAGCTTTAGTATTGTAAAAAAAATATACCCCCAAAAAGCAGAGATTAAATACTGATTAATTAAATACTGAGATTGAGACAGAATACACTACGTTATTTTTACCAGAAGATTAATTATTACAACATCAGAATATGGGATAGATCAGACAAAATAGCCTACTAAAGAAACATTCTGGGCACCATAAAAACCTAATAGGAATTAAGTTGCTATGGTGCGAGGAAGTCCTGGGTGCCGACTTACCTTCAAGAGTTAACCTGTTAACGCATGGTTTAACCCAAAAGTCTTCAGTATGGCGTCCATCACCATTGCCCCTCCACTTCCGTTTGAAGCTAATGCTCTCAACCTATCAGCGACACCCAGTTCATGCCCTCTTGATTGAAACCTCAGAATCAAACAGAAGTAGAGGGGCAGAGCTGACTCTTAAAGGTTAGTGGGCACAGGGGTCCACCCTGCACCATATCAATTTCATCCCATTGTACAGAATGTCAGTCATTGGCTGAGGGAGGCCAGCTGATCCACCCTGCACCATAACAACTTCATCCCATTGTACAGAATGTCAGTCATTGGCTGAGGGAGGCCAGCTGATCCACCCTGCATGATAACAACTTCATCCCATTGTACAGAATGTCAGTCATTGGCTGAGAGAGGCCAGTTGATCCAATGAATGGCAAGTGCTGAGGCTTCCAGCTTCTGCAAATCCGCAGAAGCCGGAAGCGTGGCTCCACACCATCAGGGAGCCTTAGAGCCCAGCGAGGACCCAAGAAAGGGGGAAACTGTTGCTAATTGTTGGGAACCGGTCCATGGTCCTCCTGGCATCATAACAGCTACAATGGATTGAAGTAACCCTTTAAAACACTGACAGTAATTCCAACTAGATCTGTAATGCTGAATGGGACCCTTAACTAATGGGGACTGGTAACTGTGTTTATCAGTTTGTTCAAAGAGGATTATAAATGTGTTAAACTATATTTTTTTCTGGAAAATAAACTCAGAATTATTCACTAAACTGTGAATTGTTGGGAATATGCAATAATACAGGAACTTCACGCTTCTTGGTTACCGTAGCAACAATTCCTGTTTATGGACATTTGATGAAGATGAATAGTGCATGGTGCCATCGAGTGGTTAAGGATAGAAATACTACAAAAAGATGTAAAATAACCCCATTTCATACCAATTAGTGTAGGAGCCAGCAGCCAGGAGGGTTTTCTTGGGTTTTTGAAATAGCCAGAAGTTTATTTTGATTTGCCTTTTTTACTATAGTATAGTGTTAAAGGAAAAGGTCACATGTTCTGAATGGTGGTCATTATTGAGAAACGTCCACCAGCTTGAATAATACCAGATTTAAATATAATTAATATATAATGATGTTTTAACATAGGGTTATTGTATATAATTTCATATGTTTTCAGACACGCTAAAGTAAAAAAAAAAGTAATCTATGTGCTCCAAATGTACAAACTGATGCAAACCTTATATTTATATGAAATTCTCATATTTACAAAGTGCTATCAATTTCATAAAAAAAAAAAAAAAAGTAAAATACAAAACTGTATAACATATTTAGACATTGAAATATAAATGATTCTCTTTACATTTGAAAAATGCACATAAAGATATCTGGCAGGTGCAGAGAGATACAAATTTACGTGGTATCAAATGTTCCATTAAAATCTCCTCCTTCTAATATGTAGCCATTTTGTAGTCTGTGGATGTAAGATTTTATTTCAGTGTCTTTGTATCTGAACCTGTAGAAGGTGCTACTTCTATGCAATGAAGAGCATGACTGCTTTCTTGAAATGAAATAGAATATAGGCTATCTTTGGACTTTCTAGTTATTCTTTCGTTAAACGTTTTGTAGCTTTTACCTCCCTTTTCTTGTACTGGGACTAGGTAATCAGCTACTAGTGGATCAATTTTTGTTCCAGTCATGAGGTTTGATATCCCACCGTTGTCATCTTTCAAGAAGAGATTCCTTGATCAAGCACAAACAACTTTGAAATACTCTGTTGATCTTGAATTGAATTTGATGGAGACCAAATTCATCATATTTGTCAAGGCCGCAAAGTGTTCATAGAAAATGTGTAAGGCTTTCTTTTTCATGTTTGTTAAGATTGTGCTTTGTTACGGCTTACTTTCATCTTGTAATTCTGATTTGGCGTCCAGATCCCTTCGCTGGCTTATTGATTCAAGACGACGCTGCTGTCTCTTTTGCTAATAAGTTGAACTGTAAAATGACCAAGTCATTATCGATCATAGTGTTACAAGCAATCATTGTAATATAGAGGGCATCATCGTGTATAATTTGTTCTGTAAAAAGAAAAGAAAAGTGGCAAACACTCTCTTGTGCTACATGCATCCAGGTCCCAGTTATTTTTTCTTAAATCCCAAGATAATGGGACTGCACATTGAATGCAGTGAGCGATATAAGTCCAGTGTTGGTGCTACTGTACAGAGGAGTGGCAGAACCTTTTATATCTTCACTGTAGTCAAAATAAGCCTAGCACACTTTCAGTGGGTAAGTGCAGACTTTAATTGGATCACCAATATACAATGACAACATTTTGGCCTTTGTCAAGTCATTATCAAGTATTTTCTATTCTTCTTTGCAATTCCACAGTGTAATTTTTTTATGTTCCATTACAAATCAAAAATATCCTGAAACAGAAAAGATTTAAACTTTTTTTTTTTTGTTAGCAAATTGCAAAAATTCAGGTTCCGAACAAAGGTTCTGTTCTACCCATTATAATTTTTTTTTCTCACAGATTTTGATGAAATCCACACTTTTATCACTTTTAGTGAATTCCTTATGATTTCATAAAACTCTGCATACCTGATAACCATAAAATGATATACAACAACCTTACATTAACCAGAAATTATTTTTAAGAAGAAAATGGGAGTAAATCAAGAAGGCATTAATCATTCAAAAATGACCACTAGAAGAATTTTGGACCTACAGCGCATTTGCCAACCGAGATCTGCCAATCCAATGCATTAGCCTTATTCAGCGTCACCATGGTGTGTGCGATGATGGCACAAGTGAAGACCTTTGAAAAGTGATAATTTTAATGGAGGGAGCGCTCCTGTTGGCTGCCTATCAAACAGTTAGCGGTGTGATTTTTTTTGACACATGTATGTGTATATGTATATGCGTAAACATTTCTGAGGTTTGGTGGTCTTGGTGCTTAGAATCTAAGAAAATCACGTAATTATTACTAAATAAAAAGTAATAACTGTGTGATTAACTGCAAAATATTTAAAATGTAAAAAGTACCATACAATTGCAGTGACTTTACTTATAAAATAAACTTGACAAATAGTACTGTTAATACTTGAATCAAAATCTACTTACTTTGCTTCTTCGAATTTCTTGTCCCTGTAAAAATTACTCTTTTTGATCAAATATAGCAGCACAAGGTCACAGAAGAACGCCCCCTGCAACGTAGGTGGAGAATAGTTTTAATGTGTTTGCTGACATACATGTGCCTATGCCAACAATCTTTATAAGATACCAGAATCAGACAAATATTTAACGTTGGGTAAGGAGGAATACATTTTATAAAGGAAAATACTGGAATTCCTCAGTTGTATGGATATTGGGCCACATACAGAGTAAAACACGTGTTCTAGATGTTTCTTTTTGACTGCATCACATCTAGAACATGAAAGACGTATTAGAAGTCTATGCGTAGCTGGATAAATTAGCCATGACTATGTGGTATCTATAGTGTATCTATGATCTATTTAACAAAAAAAAAAAAATACTGCCACCATTGTTATTATAGAATAGATAATAAACAACACTGTGTATTATTTCATAAGCCATACATATAAGCATAAGTGCATTCCTGTTTTAGTGCATTTTCAGGTTTAACCTTAGGGGCAGCCATCTTGAAATCCTCTTTGGTTATACATCGAAAGATAAGAACAGTTAAAGGGAAACTGTCACTTCAGATTGTGTTACAATTCCTCTTTGAAACCAGTTCCTCTTTGAAACCAGCTCAAAGCATATCCATGGTATAAGGATTAAGTAACATAGACTAACTCTCTAATATTTATATTGCCTTTGGCCTCTCAGGCATAGAAAGCAATCAGAATTATTCACTACAGTGAGAATTTAATGAGAATTCAAAGTAAATTTAAAATGAAAAGAAAAATTAGCCAAACTGGGAAATTTCAGCTACTTTGGCCTTAAGTCTGAACTTCACTTTGAATTCTCAATTTGGTAAATAACCCTGTTAAAGATGGCTGCCTCCAAGGAGCAAGGGTGAGCCAAGAAACACATTAAGAAGTGATGTTTACTTAAATATATGCTCTAAAATTCCATACAGAGAGACTTTAATATATGCAATTTTTTTAAAATAATCATACAATAATAATGGCAGTTTTCCTTTAATACAAGTGTCTCAGATCTTCCACATATATAAATGTTGTTTGGTTGTTAAAGCCATTTGGCTGTCAACAGCGGCTCTGTACAGTCTTTGTGGTTTTCCTATTAAAAGGTTGATATGAAGAGCTTCAAGATCAGCTCATAGTGTATTTACTCTAATGTTATATGAGGTTTTACTTAGTTCCATGATGGAACATTAATAATACTTAGCACAGGGCCAAAAATCGGCCAAGCTTTTCAGCTTTTACCAATAGTCTAACAGAATACATGCTGATGGCTGTTCGAGATGTACTGCCTTAGAACATCCCAGACACTATATTAACAACCAAAGTCCTTATCATTCTTCCTCAAGTTTTCAATTGTCCTTACCGCTCCCATTAGTGCCAGCCCCGATCCAATGTTGATAATTGTTGGAATAATGTTAAATTTTCCTGCCTGCAAGTGGATACAAAATATATATTAAAATAAAGTAACATTCTAGAAGACCTTGATTTTAGCTACAATTTATGACCTGGCAGTTAATTTAACAATTTCAGGCGCAATAGTACTCTATACCGTCAATGTTTACAGATATGATTTCAGCAAGGAAAGTACTAGTTATTTAACAGCAGCTCTTATGTATATTTAGAGTAATCGAGATCACTGCTTCACTCTGGTCATTAGTGATGTCGCGAGCCGTTCGCGAACTTGCCGCGAACGGTTCGCCACGAACCGTTCGTGGCGAACTCAGGCCAGCTGACACATCCCTGCCAATCTCCGGCAGACCCTCCCTCCCAGACCCTCCCACCTCCTGGACAGCATCCATGTTGAAGCTGCTTTCAACATGGATGCTGTCCAGGAAGTAGGAGGGTCTGGGAGGGAGGGTCTGCTGGAGATTGGCAGGGATGTGTCAGCTGACCGGTTCGTGACATCACTACTGGTCATGCGTGGAAGCACCAAATCTATTAAAGTAACAGTGTTATTTGTTGCAGCTAAGAGATGTGGTTTCTGTGTGGAAGACGTTAGGAGAGGTCTAGGCTAGTAATGAGAATGCCGCTATATCACGTTTGTTGCTGGCCCTATTCAGGGTTACATAATTTACCACCGCTGCCAGCTGCCCTCGCTGATGACTATTACCATCCGTGACAGCTAATACCACTACTGCCAGCCATTGTAGCCACTGCTACTATTACCATTGGCACTGCTATCCATAACTATCACTTCAGCCATATAGTGCCACAATTGCCAACAAAGACCACTGTATACAACTATCAATGACAAATTCCACCAGTGACAATCACAACCACTGATGACTAATACTACTACCCTCAATACAATATAATAATATACTCTGCTAATTACTACAGCCATTACCAACTATTTCCACCACTGCCAACTCCTCCACTGCCAAGCATCTGTATCGACAACTACCACTACTGCTACAACTGGAAACAACCACCAGTGACAACTACTACAACAAACACCACCACTGACAACTATGATAACTGCCACCACTGCACACTACTATAACTACTGCCTAATACTAGTACCAATGCCAACTATAACCACCAATGCCAAAAACTACTCATGCAAGCTACTCTCGCCACTGACCACCATCACTGGCAACTGGCCCCATTGACCAACCACCACATCTACCACCACTGACCAACCTCCATTGGCCGATGGTGGTAAAATTAGGACTGCAAAGGAAACAATTTCAATGCAAAAATTGTTTAACACACAATGATAATCTGATATAGCATGATAATCTGTTAACTGAAAATCAAGATCGCGCTGCATAAATTAAAATGATATTGACACAATGCATACCTTGCCATTTACTAGGATGTCGAAGCGAATGCCGTAAGCTTTAATCATCGTCCTATAATCTATTCCACTTGCATCTCTGTAATATTTTGCAAATCTGGAATTCAAATACAAAGCAATTTTTTACCGGTATAAAAGGCAAAAAAAGCTAAATTAGAAAAAATATATATTTGGTTAATATTGAGATTTTTCGTCACTTCAGGTAGCTTTTTTACAATATGTATGAATAATAAGTGATGATGTCAGATTGTCCTTTAACATAGTTCAGCCTTTCGCTTGTTCTCACTGTTGATCCGAAAACTGAGGAAAAATAAAATTTGCAATTTCTATGATAACTAAAAAGGTGAGCACATGCGTATTCTCAGTCTAAATAAGACCTTTCATTCTAGATTTTGACAAAATGCTTGAAAAATTAGGTAGCATTTCTCATTTGTTGCATTAGAGGGTTTTTTTTTTAAGACAATGATTATATATATCAATGAACTCATTTAATATGTATGTATCTGCAAATATTTTGGGAATGAATAATGCCTAACCCATGGCCAAAATTATACATTTAGGAGAGGTCCAGTTTTGGTCCGGTTTAGGGTAAGAGAACAGTCATGACAAAAACAAAACAATTATAGCTTCTAAGGCAGGCTTCCTCGAACTTCGGCCCTCCAGGTGTTGCTGAACTACAACTCTCATGATTCTATGAATGAAATAGATAGGCTGAGAATCATGGTAGTTGTACTTCAACAACATTTGGAGGGCCGGAGTTTGAGGAAGCCAATCTAAGGTAACTAAAAAAGAAAGCAGGGGGCAGTAAATATGATAGATGGGAAGAAAAATCAGTTATTTTGTAACATACAAGATAAGATAAACATTCTTGGTATGTATAAGAGAATGCCCAGCACACCTTGAATCAGGCACACATTTTCCACCTTGTCCTTTTATTTACTTCCTTATCAAGACTTTAGGTTAGTTTATAATCACAAAATGAAGAATATAAAATCTCATTATTTTTCTTGTTTATTTATCACTGGAGTGATTTTCTTTTTAAAGGACAACATGTTTGGTAGTGTCAAAAAGTCCTATTATTTTTTTTGTTATGTTTAAATGAAAATGAACGTCCTTTATGACTCAGCATTCAAAAAATATTGCCTTTTCTTTCAAATATAATTATTTGACTTTATGTGATAGGATAGTGTGCAGCCTATGCATACATTGCTGTACCATATACTCCTATTGATTTCTTAATTCTATTCTTACTTTCTTTCTTTCCAATCATTGCTGGATGTAAAATGAATAATATACTGGTTAAATGCTGGCAGTCTGTCAATACCTGAAATTGTACCCAGAAGACACTGATTTCTCTGTAAATTTATTATCTAGACGAGTGAAGGAATAGTGCGGATGGCATTCCGATGCATCTTTGTCAAGGTCACAGTCCCATTCAATTCGAATTCCAATGACCCCACCCTGATAAAAGAGAGGCATGTTTACAATGAGCCATGAACACGCACTGTGCTTATACTTCGAAGAATTAGAGAAACACCCCAACTTTCACCTTTAGGGGTTCTCTATAATGGTATGACTTGTGTGGACCTCCCTTAGATTCTCCTCCAGTCTCCAATCCTTTCAATACATTGCTAAATTTGGCCTTTTTTAAAAAAAAGAGCATATCGAGGTCTATTGACTCTTTTACCAGAGCAGTAAACAGCCAACGTAGGGATCCGTTCCATGGCTACAATAGTGAAGAAAACACAAGAAGCCATAGAAATGGATAAACTTAGATCACAACAACATGACACCCTTAAATCCTTTCACAAAATGTGGGATCCTTGGCTGAATGGAAATATCCGATTTCATGAATAAAGCTGACAACACAAATCTTCTTCTGTATTATAGCCTATAGCGGAACTCTTATATTTCTACTCTCTATCTTTCAGCCTCTTTCTTCTAATCTTTCAAACTACTTATCTCTTATATCTTAGTGTGAGCTCAGGCATTCCATTCTATTCTTTTACTCTGATTCCTACACTTCTATTATCTCTTTAACTCGTCTTTAATTCTTAACCCGCTCTGTGAATAATACTGCTTTCCATGTTTCTAATGTACTCCTTGACTTTCGAAATTAGTCCCACATTTAAGGCATTCATCACAGCCTGGTAGTAAAGGCATTATAAGGACCCAATATTAAAGGAACGTTATAGTCACCAGAACAACTACAGTTTAATGTAATTGTCCTGGTGTCTATAGCCTGTCCCTGCAGGCTTTTCAATGTAAATGCTGCCTTTTCAGAGAAAAGCTGTTCTCAATCTTATTAAAACGGTCATCAAATAAACAAAAAAATACGAACATACTAAGTAGTAGAAATGGGTTTTTGGTTATGCAGTTTTATGAAACCTAAACAAATCCTAAAGTTAGAGCAGTCCCAATGACATGTATAGAGTACTTAGTACACATTTAGTAATGTATTACAGGTATCAAACCTAGTGATGGGCTATAGACCAGTGGGTCTGGTCTGTATATTGACATTTGTTACCATATTACATACATGACATTAGTTTGGCCATCCATTGTTCAGTGATAACATTCTGGAAAACAAATTAATTAGACTCTTCCAAGTATCACATGGGTCTCCACAATGCACTGGGTACAGTGTTGCTACAGTACGTTGTCTGAGGCCAGATGATGTCTGAGTTAAAATTACAAGAGACTTGCTAACGTACATCCTATACAATGATTGTGCCACGGCAGCCTCACACACACGTATTGTTATCTGTAAGTCAGTTATTGATTGTTTAAATAAATAAATAAACAAACAGAGAAGTGATAAAAGTTTCCCTTATTTGAATAGTAGCCTCTGAACTGCAAATTACAAGTTAAAAAAATAAAAAATGATTTACTCCTCATCATTTACACATACTCATCAACCTTCATTCAGAAAACTTAAATTGTGAATGCAGCTATAGCATAACACCACAAGGTGGAGTCTGAAATCTGTGAAAGATTTCTGCAGGAGACCTTGCAAGCATTTCACAGTTACACACTTACCTGTCATGAGATCACCCTCCATTATAATCTGTGATTTTTTTGAAGTAGTCAAGACATATTAATGTAAAATGAGGTATAATAAGTATAAGAATAGATAGGTCCCTCTCATAACAATGTTGTCTGTGACCAGGGCCGGACTGGCTAATGGGAAAACCGGGAAAATGCCTGGTGGGTCGTGATGACCATAGGCCGATGAAGACAGGTGAGATAAGAGGATCTACGCTGCCAGCCCATGAGCCAGCTCTGCTTTCACGGGTTGGTTTTGAGATCAAACATGCAGTTCAGCTCGGGGCTTTGCTGTGGCTGCAACAGGAAAAGTCCACCAGTGCAGGATCTTACGAGAGTGAGCTGAAGGATAGAGTCACTCAATACCAACGGACACCCAGGGCTTGCAATGTCCCCCCTCCCTGGCCAAAGGTAAGAAGGGAAGGGGGATATTTACTTTTTGAAATGACATAATAATAATTTGATTAACCCACCACACACAATACAGGCTGTATACCTCCCAGCACTTCCATACATTGTACCTCTCACACACTGAACCCTTAGTCCTCCCATTACACCCCTCGGGCACACACTGCACCCCTCACACACACGCTGCACCCATCAAACACATTGCAATTCTGACAAACACACTCTGGATCCCCTATGCACACACTACTTTCCCTGTACGCAAACACACACTACATTCCATAAATACACTAACTATAGCCTCTACATCACCTATACACACAGACAACAGCCCTTATACACATATACACTACAGCCCCTATACACACTATGCCCCACATACACATACACTACAGCCCCTATACACACGCTATGCCCAACATCCCCTATACACACTATGCCCCATATACACATACACTACAGCCCCTATACACACTATGCCCCATGTACACATACACTACAGCCTCTATACGCACTATGCCCCATGTACACATACACTACAGCCTCTATACGCACTATGCCCCATGTACACATACACTACAGCCTCTATACGCACTATGCCCCATGTACACATACACTCTCTCATTCTTTATAGACCTGAGTCACACATATTACACCAAAACGACAACACAGCTGAAACCTACCTTTTTACACAAAACAACACACCACAATCAGCTCACTCTACACACACACACACAATCCAAACACTTTCCTGGCCCTTTTGTCTCTGGTATCCTACTTATGGAAACACCAGAAACAAGTCACAAGCAAATGCAGCACAAGTGTTATTAAATTTGCACTGCACAGAACAAATACACTGCCTTTTTCTCATGCGAGAGCTCTTCAGCGGGGAACAGTCACTTCTGTTTTTGTTTTTTTGTTGCACAATCCAATAATTGATTGGATTAATTGAAAATGAACAATGGGTTTGTGCTTGAAAATTTTGTAACCCCAATGATGATAGTGCCGAAGAATGCAGGCATTTGTATGGCTACCCCAAGCTAATGCCGGAGCACACAGCGCTTCACCCTTACCTGGAAGCCCAGTGGAAATATTTTTTTATTTATAAAACAACCGAGATTTACCTCAACTGCCATGTCTTGAAAGTCGCTTCCAGCCCAGGATACAATCTTCCCCAGATGAAATATGGGGCAGTAATGGTTCTCTTCACTGAATCGGCAGTTTTTCAGAAATGAGTCGTCGTCTGTGTCTAATATATTTGTCCTTAACAGAAAAAGCGTAGAAACAAAATCATGTAAATAAAAATATACCCACTTCATACCTGCCATTGATTTATTTCTTCCACTGCATATCATTTAGATATAGACATATCACACATCATTTAGATATAGACATTCTACTTCTCCATATCTGCAGTGAAGCCCTTACACCTCGGTTTGACTCAACTCTTGGGAAACACATAGTTCTATTGCATCATGTGTTTGGAATGTCTATGAATGTTGCTGATTCTATAAGCGTCCAATCATAATAGTGAAACGGGGGCTTTGCTTCTTGTTCCTTTCCACCAATCCAAATGCAGAAGAGATCATAGCTGGGGGGAGTGGTATGAATTATATAAATAAATAAACTAAAAATAAAAACAGAACAATATTAGGCTTCAATCATTTCTACCCACCATTAAATTGTAGTGTATTGAAATCTAGGGTTTTTCTTAGCTGTGATAATTGAATCTTCAAAACAAGAAAGTAATTTTTTTTGTGTGTCTGATTTGCGTAGTCTGTTTTAAGCAATTGGCCACTTACTTTGAAAAATTAAACTTTGGGAAGCGTATAGAGTTTTTAATGTAGACCGTGAAGTTCTCTGCTTTTCCTAATAGTGGAATCCTATGGGTGGAAAAAAAGTTGAATAAAGCACATAAATAATATCTAAAGCTGCCAAAATAAAAACATAAGCTAAAATCTCTCGTTATTCACTAAAGTGAGAATTCGGTGTAAATTCAAAGTGAATTTCAAATTTAATGTGAAAAAAAATTGAACAATTCTCTAATTCAGATTTGCTTGGAAATTCACTATAAATTCACTTTTCGAATCCTCACTTTAGTAAAACACCCTGTTACTTGCTTAGTCCACACAACCTAATTATTAAACAATTTAAATTATTAAGCAAAATAAAATCAATGGGAGACATCTTTACATTTGTGCATCTTACATTACACAAATGCACATTATCATTTCACCATTCAATGTGAGAATCTTAAAGCAAGAGTGGCTGATAAAACTACAAGAGACTAATGATTCAATTACCGTAGATCCATGTTTTATTGACTGAATATTTATTAAGCACTATATACTGTCCTATAGATTGTAAGCTCGTTTGAGCAGGTTCCTCTTCAACCTATCGTTCCTGTAAGTTTTCTTGTAATTGTCCTATTTATAGTTAAATCCCCCCCTCTTATAATATTGTAACGCGCTACAGCATCTGTTGGCGCTATATAAATGGCCATAATAATAATAATATACAATACCTTCAAAATCAGTGGATTTTTTTTTCAGACTGGATTGCCCTCTTATATAATTGACGGTTAATATATTAAGCTTTTGTTTACCAGTTGCTCATTGTACTGTTTACACCCAAATAAGTTGCAAATCACTATTTATGCTTTTCTGTGGTCAGCTAACAGTGACATCTGTTGCCGCAAGAATAATACAAGTATCTGTGTACTGGGCAGATTGTGTTACAGCTTTGTTAAGTTCAGCCAGCTTTTAATTTGCATTCTCTATATTGATTCAGTGTCTCAAAGGCTTTATACTGTAGAGGTGAGTAAAATACAGATTTAAAGGCTATTTGGATAAATCAATTTAAAATGTATTACCCCAAATAATTTATAAATATGACTCTTCAATTTCATGCAATCAAGCAGTATATGAGCTTTATTGGTTTCTAGATACTGAAGCCCAGTTCTGAATATGTGAGGGCTATACTACTTCTTTGTATTTTTTTTTTCACATACTTTGGCCTTTTCTTCTTCTCTACGGGACACCAGGCAAATATTTCACAGATTCCAGTGGTGTTAACCGGTCCCGACTTCAAGCAACGACCTGTCTTAACTCCTGTAAACAAAGTTAAATATCTTATCTATATCCCATATCATTATTTTACATTGATCTTATAGCATTTCCAAAATTTTCTCTTTTTTTTTTTTGGTCAGCTAAAATATTTTCATGCTATTAGACAAACATATAAATAGTGCAGTTTGTTTGTAAACATGCCAGTTCCTATAGGTTACTCCATGTGCGATAAAGTACCCATCATGCTTTTTAAAAAATGATCTTAACATAATTTTTTGTTATAGTACACCATCTAATTATTTTATTTTAATTCATGTATGTTGAATTTTATTTATTTTATTTTTTTATAAATTCCTTGCATACCTTTCCGCTCCCTGTTTTCGACAGCCATCTTTATGCACCTTCGGTCAGATTGTCAGTTATCTAACCTTATGCTCTCTATTTTGCAAACATCTGCTGCTTTTCCAAATTACCAGACAGAAAATGTTTCAGACACAAAGCATACCATTTTTGAAAAGCAACGGACAGCTACAAAATAGTGAACAATCAGATATCTGACAATCTGACCAAGAATGAATAACAAAATGGCTGTCAGAAAGATGGACTGACAAATGTAGAGATTTCTGAAAAAATCCAATACACAGGAATTTAAAAAGAATAATAAGATGGTATATTATAACATAAAGATTATATTAACATATTTTTAAAACATTGAAGGCACTGTTCCTTTAAGTAATTAAATATAAAATAATAATTGATAATTGATGCCCCTTGAGCAATATAAACATTTTACATACTGTTGTTTAGCCCCTTTCATTTACTGCCTTACAGCAGACAAAATGTCTATTAAACAATTAGGCTGGTTGGTACATGACACAACATAGTCCCTACTTTCTAAAAAAAATAATTGCAGTCTACATAGATTTTAGACAAAACATTTGGGTACCCCTAAGAACTGTGCACAACAAATGTATTCACATTTGCTGCAGTATATAAGATTTATTCACTAAATAGAAAACTGTCAAATTTAGATTGATTGAAACAGCCAATTAAAAGAAGTAAAGAAGTTGTTTTGAAATAGATTTAGTCAATTCTACAGCCAATTCACAACAATTCTATATTTAGTGAATAAGTCCCGTAGAAGGCAGATTTGATTATTATTTTATCCAACGTAACTCTGAATCATGCATTTTTTAAAAGCTTCCCTAAGTGAAATGCTATTGCAGTCTTTTTTCAACACTGTATGCAAGGCTTTAACTCATCAATGACTAATAACAGTCTGGGTCATCTAAACAATTTAGTTCTTGAAGACTCTACACTGACAAAGGCACCAAAGTGTGACATGTCATGAATTCAAAGAGAATTTCACATGTTTGGCCAGAGTAGCCGAATTGGAAACATAACTGGCTAAGAAAATGTTTCCAGTTTGTCTCTTTTGGCGCACAACTTGGAATTAAAGTGAATTCTGATAAATTTACATGCAAATAAATCACTCACTCAGTTTTTTTGTTTCTGTATTAAAAGCTGGGCTCTATCAAGGTTTTTGCTAAATCAGAACTATGCTCCAGATGTTTTGTACTTACATTTCCCATGATGCTTAGCTAACCTTAAAGTTGTATCTAGGCAGGCATAGTCATCACTGGAATAGGGTCTTCACTGACCAAACTTAGATGATGGGAGATTATGTAAAGTGGTGAAAATGGACGCTTGCCCATAAAATCATTGTTGGCTTGAATTCTCCCTCAAAGAAAAGTACTAGTCTTTCTGATTGTAGCAATCTATCCAGTGTGTATACTTGGGTTATGGAAAATCTCTGCATACCATTCATATTTATTTTATATATTGCATCTTGTGGCAATTGGCACTAAATAATTCAATTAATTAATGCAATTTCCTCTATGGTTTTGTTACTTTGCTATTTTTAGTAATGTAATTTGCGCAATGAAAATGTGATGTTGCCAGCCCATTAGCGAGAGTCCATTAATTGAGAGCAATATATTACTTCTTACCATTGCCAGCTATAACTGGTTCACCTTCTGTGCAGTCTGTGTTTTTGGAACACACGGCATCTGGGATCCCATAACTCTGAAGGTTGAATTAAAAAAACTATATATAATTTCAAAACTATTCTATCCTTTCCTATGATAGTTTTCATTGATTAATTGTATCTGTATACACATATTTCTACAAAGTAAACATATCAGGATCAATTACTAAACATCCAAATGTAAGGAATCGGAAAACAAATTGTACAATATAGGCTAAAATATCCAGAGATTTGGGAGATTTTTGGGGGGAATTCGTGATTAACTCAGCAATTTCAGCTGCACTTGGCTAGGGACATGAAGAATAGACTACAGTGAGCTTGTGATCATATGATATATATAAGTGTGGTAACCCCAAGTCCCCCCTGTTCTTGGGGTGGTAAAGCAGGGCGCATGCTATTCTGGGGCGCTTTCTTTTCCAAAAAAAAGTGTCTATGGCGTGCTATAAATGAGCTAGATCCCCTCGTGTGACTTTCACCTGTAGTGACTGAATAGGAAGAGGAGCCGAGGCATTATGTTCATTATTACTGTATGTAGTCTCCTGATCCAAGAGATCGTTTTTTTCTGTCCACAGTTCCAAATCACAGATCAGGGTGTTAAGCAGCGGTGGATAGTTGTATTTGTATAATTGTGTGTGGTCTGATGTAAGCTTTACCCCTAATTATTGGAGTGTATCTCTGGCTATGTGCAGTTTAATTTTAGTGTGTATCAGTGCCATGTCCGGAGCCAAGAGGTGGAACGGCAGCGCCATAGACTTTGTCAAATTTACCTTATATCCTGAGACACTACTGTACTGGTCTAGAAGCTCAGCGATTGCATTGGTTCTGTAAGAGTAAGGAGGACGTCATCCACGTATGTGGAGACCTTGAACTGTTTACCAGCCAAAGTAACCCTTTTATCTGTGGATGTCGCCTGGAGAAGTGGCTCCAGTGAGAGTGCGAACAGTAGTAGAGACAGCGGGCATCCCTGCCTTGTTCCGTTGTGTAAGGGGAATGGGGAATGCTTAGCTCCTGTGATGATGGTCTCAGGTGTGAGTATAGGGCTCAGATCGCTGTGGTGTATTATGCCTCCGGGAAGGCCCATGCTATGAGAAGGCCAAACAGATAAGGCCTAGCCCTGTCGAAGGCCTTCTCGGCGTCCAAAGGGAGCATCAGAGAAGGCCTCCCCGATGCTCCCATGTGCCATGTTAAGACCGTGCTTCGTCTAGTGTTGTCATATTTTTGCCTTCCAGGCATGAAGCCCACCTTGTCTGGGTGTATGAGTCATGTTAAGAGTGACGTAAGCCTAGAAGCCAGTATGCTTGCGTATAGTTTCAAGTCAAAGTTGATCAGGGAAAAAGGTCTGTAGTTAGCCGCCTGTGCTGCGTCCCTGTCTGGTTTGGGTAGGAGAACGATGTTTGCGAGGGCCATATCTGAGTCCGGAGTCCCCCCTTTCATGAAGTGGTTAAAGAGGGTAGTGAAATGAGGGGTTAGAATGTCCCTGAATTTTTTGTAGTATCCTGCACTATATCCGTCCGGTCCCAGAGCTTTATTACCTTTAAGGGCTTTTACTGCTAGAGGTGTGATTGGTGCCTTTAGTTTCTCCGTGTCTTCCCCTGTCACCCTCGGCAAGTCCGTGCCAGAGAAGAAAGAACCACTATATATTCGGGGTTAAGCCCGTCTTGGAGTGGGGAATGATTGTAGAGTGTCGAATAGTATTGTGTGAAGACTTTGTTAATGTTGTCTGGAGTTTCTGCTGTGTCCCCTGACTGTGTGAGGATATTAGTTATGTGCTGGAACCCTTGTCTTGGTTGTAGTGACCGTGCCAATAGAGTGCCCATTTTGTTGGACTTCTCGTAAAATGTGCGTCTGGATAATAGGATGGAGAGGGCCACTCCCTCCAGTGAAAGTTCTTAATGGAATGTCTGAGGGCATTAAGTTCGTTCAGTTTGTCTGCTGTGAGATTTGCCTTGTGCTGGAGCTCCACTTTCCTCAGGGCTGTCTGTAATTCTAGTAACTGTGTAGTTGTTTGTCTTTTTTAGTGTGTGGCTGTGTACTACTGTGTTCAAAATAGTCCTTGAGGGTCTCAGTCAATGAGTTGGTTATACCTTCATCATCTAGTAAGCTCGTGTTTACTTTCCAAGTCCAATTAGAGGTGTATTTGAGTCTATCAAGAGTGACCGTGATGTCTGCATGGTCTGACCATGTAATACTGTTAATTTCAGAGTGTAGGAACTTGGCTATTCCCGGTCCGTTGATTAAAATATTGTCTTTTCTGGAATAGGTGTGATGGGGTGCCGAATAAAATGTATAATCCAGTGTGCCTGGGTGTTGTAGCCACCTCGTGTCAAGTAGTCCTGTGTGTCCTAGGAAGGTGTGCATTAGTTTGTTCTGTGTTCCTCTCCCGTGAGATCGCGGCACGCCCGTCTTGAGCTCCTGACGGCTGCCGGACACGGCACTGCATTGAAATCTCCCCCTAACATGACCACTCCCCCTCACCTTGTGATGAAAATATTTTTTAAATGACAGAGGAAGATATATTGTCCTTACCTCGAAGCATGTTCCCTGCCTCTGATTAGGTGTCACAATCAAGTTTGTTACTACAAAAAATACATTTTCTCCCTAAAAAAAGAAAAACAATGAAACCAGTTATATTCATTGTTATATTTTTGTCTCTTTTATCTATAGTTCTGTACTGACCTGAGGTGGTATGACATAATCCACCACATCCCACAGTTTCTCGCCAAGTTCAGTGGTATTGGTGTATGCCACTCCCTTCAATTTGGTAATGACGGAACTTTGGATGGATGTATCCGTGTCCTGATAACCTTTCTTTACCACAAATACCCATCTGGAAAGAAAATTGAAAAAGTGAGTTATTACTAGTGCAAGACAAATACATAACTTCTCATTTCAAATAGACAAAGAAGGCACTCTAATTTTAGAGGTGAATGGGGATCAGTCGAATGGTGGGGTTTGTGCTGAGAAATTTTAGGCGACTTACTAATAATAATTTATGCAAGGTATAGAACAAGAACAATGTATCTTATTTACCCACACTGATTATTAAACACATTTTAGTTTAAAGAGGCATTACTGAGTATTATTGCTAAGGAGCTCTGTTATAGCTACTTGTACCTCACATTTCAACAGGCCCCATGCTTACCCTACTGGGTGGATATCTTGTCCTCCATTCAGAATACCCAGCCAATGGGGTCCATAGCAAGAGTTCCCCCTCTTCTTGAACTCTAGAAATAAGAATCCTTCCATGGTTACCCCAGTACCTCCTACACAGAGGTAGGGTTAACAGATTGCCATACCATGCCATACCATGACTGGGTTTGAAAGTACTGCCCAGCAGTATGAAGAATGCATAATGAAGTCTAACATTAAATGAATTAAGTAATCTGGGTTGTTCATATATAGTGATGTCCCGAATGGTTCCCAGACCCTCCACCTCCTGGACAGCTCACTAAAAATGCAGCTTCACAATGAATGTAAAATGGATGCTGTCCAGGAGGTTTTAGGGTCTGGGAGGGAGGGTCTGCTGCTGATTGGCTGGAATGTGTCTGCTGACTGTGAGGTACAGGGTCAATGTTTACTCAATGATGAGTCCGTGGCGAACCGTTCGTGGCAAACCGTTCGCGAACCGTTCGGCGATCCGTTCGGGACATCACTATTCATTTACCATCGCAGCTATGATTAGTTAGTTAATTGATTACATACTGGGAGCTAAGAAAAAATCTGACAGTCCGACACTCAAGTTAACACATTGTCTGAGTAGAATACACATATTTTTTATTTTAACAATGCAAGAAGATATGACATTTTGATGTATGATTTGAGCTGAGACCAACACAAATTATAATTAAATATAATCTTGGAAGGAAAATACATGTTGGACCCAGCAGAACAGTTATTCAGTATGCAGTATACGTCCGTCTAGCTTTATAATTCTGCATTAAAGTTTCACCGTGACATTTCACTTATTCTACACAATACCTGTCTGTGCAAACGAGAAGCACAACACAAACATATTTCTAATATTAATACAATATGTACCAACAATAACATTAATAATAACATTGATAAAAGAAGTATATATGACATCTTTAAAAACGGTCTGTTTCTGGCTAGACTGCATATACATAATGAACACATTCCCCTAGATCCTTTATTACTCTGAGCCAATTCTGGTCCCAGTTGCCAACTCAAATCTTAGTAGGTTTCAAAAGGGCATCTTATTGATTTGGCACCATAGGTCCCCTTGCCTCTCCTGTAAGACGAAGCTTGCTGTGAGCCTTTTGGTTCAAAACCTGAAGCTTTTTATGGAGCAGCCCATTTCATTCATACAATGGAACAATAAGATGGAGCGGTCTAATTGGATCTAGAGGATGTATTTTATCTCCTCTGCCTCTAAATTTCCACCCGCAAACAAAAGACTGTCTGAAATCCAACATACGTATAATTTCTGGTCTTATGGTGCCTCCATGATTCTCTCCCGTAGCCCACGTTCCCTCTCACATGTCTTTTCTGTAACCAACCCTTTCAGATAAATCTACTTTTGAGTCTAAAGACAATGTACGGTGGCACAGATGAAGACTCACTATGGAGGTGAAACTATTAATTAATTTCCCCACACCCCCTGTTCCTTTGAACGACTGTACTTTAAAGAAGCTTCACGACTGGCCTAATACCATCCAACTATATCAATGTGGGCAACATAGTACCTCAGTTGGCAATGGAACATTATAATTATTACACTATCAAACACAAAATCGCCATTTTTATCCTGATGAAAGATAATTGTTAGAAAACTCAGTTGTTATTTGCATCCTGAGATTCCAGCACCTTAACCAGTAAACGGACAGCTTATGCCATAGGGTTTGCGAATAGCAGGGACCATGGTACCATGTCTGGTGGCTTTACAGTACGATTGTCTCTTCTTTAATTATTTTTTAGTTTAAGACACAGGTTGCCTTAAGTTATTGCTTTAAACATGTTTTTAGCAGAAATAAAAGCTTTTTTTCCTACAATATAAGGTATGTGTAGGAAAGATGAAAATATGAAATAGTGGTATATGGGGATATGCTTGATCATTTTTGGGACCGCCAAACAAAGCATCTGAAACTGTCCCACAAACTTTCAAAAAATCTCAGCTATATTAGCTATGCTTCCAGTTCTGCTACTTGGCCTTGGATTTGAAATCCACTCTAATTCATGCTAATTCTCCCTTTAGTGAATAACACTATCAGGGTTATATATCTTTAATCAACAACCTCTGCCACATAGAGGTTAAGGCTATTGACAGATTTACACCATTTTACATAAACCACATATTAGATTGTGTTGCTTGAAAGGTTTCATCTAGGAATGGAAGAGCAATCAATTACAATATACATGTCTAATCATACGCACGCACGCACGCACGCACTCACGCACACATATTATAATGTGAAGATTTGATTTTATTTGTGTTACATTAAATCTCAAAAATACCGTTTTTCTAAGCTCAATATGTGCACACTGAACTCGGACATAATAGGTAAATAAAATGTAAAAAATTTGCTATTTATTTAAGTTCTATTTGAGGTAGCTCAGAGACTGCAGAAAACGTGAGATCATGGAAGGAAGACATTTATCAAACGCCTAAGTGTTCACTTTGTTGGCGGATTTGAGGATTTGAGTACAACAAAGGCAAACATGTATTCCTGATCCTTTAGTGTTAAAACCACCATCTAAAACCCCCACCTCCCCCCTAAAATATAATAAAAAGAAAATCTTCCTTTTATTCCAGTCTGCTGCGGTTCGCTCTGCCCCTGATCTGCCTGCTTGGCTGACATCATCAGATGCAAAGCATTGAATTGGCTAAGCTTGTCAAGGAGGCAGATCAGGGGCAGAGCCAGCACAAGTCCTGGCAGCATATCCTCATATAGATGCATTGAATCAATGCATCTCTATGAGGAAAGTACAGTATCTCCATGCAGAGGGGGGAGGCACTGAATGGCAGTGCTGCACAGTGTACAGCACTGCCCCAGGAAGCACCTCTACTAGCCATCTGAGGAGTGGCCAGTGGAGGTATAACTAGGCTGTAATACAAATACTGCATTTACTCTGAAAAAACAGTGTTCACTGCAAAAAGCCTGAAAGGAACAATCATACTCACCAGAACAAATACAATAAGTTGTAGTTGTTCTAGTGACTATAGTGTCCCTTTATTTTTTTTTCTTGTACATTAAACTACCATGGAACAGAGCTCCTGTTCCCCACCTCTCAAACCTTTATTTCTTTTCATTATCACAAAATATAAAAGAGAATCTCATTAAAAGAACAAGCCTTTAAAGATCATATAAAATACTGGTGGGCAGAAGCATGCTTTGTTACATCTAAAACAGACCTGTCACTTGAACAGAGAGAGGAGTCTGAAAGGACCTACAGTTAGCACTGGGAAATAAGACGAAACAGGTGGGAGGGGGAATGAGCATTTCTGATGACGGTCCTGTCTGCACCTAAACATCACTTGACATAGTGATGTTATGTCCCTTTAAAAAAAAAAAAAAAATGTATAGGAAAAACTGTGAAAAATGCACACAAATAAAACAACTGGTGTATGTATTCTCAAATGAATTGCAGACAGCAAATGCAAAATGATAATACAAATAAAGAGCGATAAATTTGCATAACACTGTATTTTTACCTTATTTATTGTGTAAACAAAGATAATGACATGTAAATATAGAAAACAAATGTGTGATATACATAAATGATACAGAATGTGATATAAAACTGATAAGTGCACACACACACTTTCCAGAGATAAAAATGTATGTAAATAAATATTTTAAATAGAGGGGACTCAACACTATAACCACTTAATTGATATGAATGTCCCTTTAAAAAAAAAAAATGTGTAGAAAAACTGTGAAAAACGCACACAAATAAAACATTTTACTGACATATTTTAATGCTACTTACAGAAAAAGCCTCCTTGAAGTCATTACTAAGGCCATACTAATGGAAGGATGCTGTTCCTATTTTTCGCTACAGTCCTTTAGCAGTGGATTATTTCATAGTTTGACATGGAAAAATAAACATGACATACCTTGCTATGCACTGACACATACACTATCTCACAGGCTGATACTCTGCCAACGTTCTCAATGTACGTGTTCAAATACACACCTCCCTTACAAAATCAATGCATGAGTTATGGCACAAGACAGTCAATGTGCTACATCACATAAAATCTTATCCTGCTGCAGTATCAATCAGAGAAGGCATGACTTTCTATATCGAACTGGGTAGCAGCTATACAATCACAGACACAAGTCTAATGAAAATCTGTAGCCTTCTTGTAAATCAGCAATGGAAACATTTATGAACATCTTGACACACATATACACAAACTGGCACATACACAGGGCCGGTGCAAGGATTTTTGCCGCCCTAGGCAAAAGTAAAGTTTGACGCCCCCCTCCTCCCCCCCGTGACATCGCAATGCCCCACCCATATGACCTGCCATGTTAACTAACGCTAGTGCTGCAGTGCCGCTGTGTTTACATTAAAAGGCCTGCAGGGACAGGCTATAGACACCAGGACCACTACATTAAGGTGCAGTGGTTCTGGGGACTATAGTGTTTCTTTAATGTGAGGTAAATTAGAGATTAGTGCCACGAATAATATACTAGATTACCTACTTACAAGCAGATGAGGATGATGATGGGCTCTAGCTGCAGTCTGGCTCCACTGGTCTGGTGTATAACAGGATCTCTGGAGGCTGTTTGTAACTGTGGTCACACAAATCAATGTTCTGGGAGAACGAGAAGCAGCTCCATTTTTTGGGGGCCCTTTACACAGCTCAAGGTCTGGGTCCCAGGGTCCACCTTCATTTTCCACCAATGAGTTTGTTCACAGGGGATGGAGTGTGTAGGGAATGTCCTGATTTGTGTGTAAGGAATGCATTTTGTGAATCTGTGTTTGTATGTGTAAGGGCTGCAAGGTGTGTTTCTGTGTATGTAAGGGATGAAGTGTGTGAGTCTGTAAGGGGTGCATTGAGTGTGTGTAAGGAATGCATTGTGTGTTTCTGGGTGTGCAAGGGTTGCATTGCGTGTGTGTGTGTAATGCATTGTGTGTGTAATGCATTGTGTGTTTTTCTGTGTGAAAGGGGTTCATTGTCTTTGTGTGTAAGGGGTGCATTGTGTGTGATTGTGTGTGTGTGTGTGATGGATGTCAATCTCTCCCCCCTCCCTTGTCACTCTCTTCTCCCCCCCTCCCTTGTTACTCTCATTCCCCCTCCCTCCCCTGTCACTCTCCCCTCCCTGTCAATTTCTCTCTCCCCGTCAATTCCCCTCCCTGTCAATGTCTCCCCCCGTTAGTTTCTTTCCCCCCCCACCTCCCTGTTAGTTTCTTTCTCCCCCCTCCCCTGTCAGTTTCTTTCTTCCCCCCTCCCCTCCCCTCCCTGTTTCTTTCTTCCCCCTCCCTGTTTCTTTCTTCCCCCTCCTTCCCTGTTTCCTTCTCCCCCTCCCCTGTTTCCTTCTCCCCCCTCCCTCCCTCTTTTTCCCCCTCCCTCCGTTTCTTTCTTCCCCCTCCCTCCGTTTCCTTCTCCCCCCTCCCTCCTTCCCTGTTTCCTTCTCCCCCTCCCTCCCTGTTTCCTTCTCCCCCTCCCTCCCTCTTTCTTCCCCCTCCCTCCCTGTTTCTTTCCCCTCCCTCCCTCCCTGTTTCTTTCTTCCCCCTCCCTCTGTTTCCTTCTCCCCCTCCCTCCCTGTTTCTTTCTCCCCCTCCTCCTGTTTCTTTCTCCCCTCCCCTCCCTCTGTTTCTTTCTTCTCCCCCCTCCCCTCTCTGTTTCTTTCTTCTCCCCCCCTCCCTCTTTTTTTCTTCTCCCCTCCCTCTCTCTCTGAACAACAACTTTCCCCCTCCCTCCTTCTCTGAGCAACTTTCTTCTCTCCCCTCCCCTCCCTCTCTGTTTCTTTCTTCTCCCCCCCCTCCACTCCTGAACTTTCTTCTCCCCTCCTCCCTCTCTTGTTTCCCTCCCTCCTCCTGTTTCTTTCTTCTCCCCTCCCTCTCTCTTTTTCTTCTCCTCCCCTCTCTTTCTTCTCCCCCCCTCCCTCCCTCCTGTTTCTTTCTTCTCCCCTCCCTCTCTTTTTTCTTCTCCCCCTCCCTCCCTCTCTTTTTTTTTTCTTCTCCCCCCTTCCTCCCTCTTTCCTCCCCCTCCCTCCCCTACCTGTGTGGTAGTGTGGCCGAGCCCAGTATAGTCCGACCGGTACAGGGAGCTGTTGTTTCCTGTACCCGGCCGGACTAACAGGAAGTGAACACTCAGTGTTCACCTCCTGTTAGTCCGGCCGGGTACAGGAGACAGCTGCTCTCTGTACCGGTCGGACCATGCCATAGAGGGCTCGGCCACGCTGCAGTGAGGGGGCTGACAGGAGGGAGCGCTGTGCGTTTCCCTCCTGTCAGCCTCTCCTCAGGCTGCGCCCGGGCGGTGCGGTCCGCCCTCATGGACGCACCGCCCGGGCAAAGCTGCAGCCGCCTGAGGCTCTTTACAGAGTGCTCGGGCGGCTGCAGCATGAGCGGGGCCGGCGCTCCTGGCGGCGCCCCCTCCCAAGGGGCGCCCTAGGCGGCTGCCTAGTCCGCCTTACAGGTAGCGCCGGCCCTGCACATACACACACTAGCACATACACACACTTAGATACAAACTGACACACATATACACACACTGGCACACTCACAGATATACACACTGACACATACACACACACTCAGATACACACACACTGGCACATACACTCAGATACACACACTGACATACAGATACACACTGGCACATACACACAGATACACAAACTGACACATACACATACACACAAATACACAAACTGACACATACACACACACTCAAATACACACACTGGCACATACACACAGATACACACTGACACATTACACACAGATACACACTGCCACATACACGCACACACACTGATATAAAGATACACACTAAGACATATACACAGATACAAGCATTGGCACAAACACACACACACTCAGATACCCACACTGACATACAGATACACACACTGACACATTACACACAGATACACACTGCCACATACATACACACATACACACACACACTCAGATACCCACTGATATAAAGATACACACTGACACATACACACCGATACAAACACACTCAGATACCCACACTGACATAGAGAAACACACTGGCACATAAACACAAATACACACACTGACACATTACACACAGATACACACTGGCACATACACGTACACACTCAGATACACATTGATATAAAGATACCACATTGATATAAAGATACACACTGGCACATACCCACAGATCCAAACACTGGCACAAACACACACACACTCGGATACACACACTGACACATACACACACAGATACACACTGGCACATACAATCTGACACATGTAAACACATACATGTCGTACTTTATATATTTGCGTCCACTCTCCTGTTAGCTTGCCTTTTGTGTTCAGGAGGGTGACTTGCTTGGGGTGTTGGCTGAAGGGAGTGAGCATGCAGCAGCAGCTCACTCCAGCCTCTCCTCTGCCTTCATGCCCCTAAAAAAGTGCCACCTGGGGTGGACTGCCCCTCCCGCCACCCCCTAGCTATGCCACTGCTTGCAAGGTTCTATTTGTATGCAGTATCTGTGAAAGTAGGCATGCTTTTGTATGAAGTATGCTTGTGTATTTGTGTATAATGCTTATGTTTGAATGCAGGTGGTTTGTTTGTTTGTGTGTAGTGTTTGCATTTAAATGAAGAGGAGTGCGTAATGTTGGTGTTTGAATCTAAAGTTTTTTATGTACTGTTAGGGTATGAATGCAGTGGTGAGTTTGTGTTTAATGTTGGCATGTGAATGCAGGATTGTGTTTGTACATAGTATTGGTGTTTGAATGTAGGACTGTTTTTGTGTACAGTGTTGGCGTTTGAATGCAGGGTGTGTTTGTGTGTAATGTTGGTGATTGCATTCAAATGTATATTCACAAATATACATGTATTGCCACACCCATATACATGGGCACATTGCCATACATAGAAACACACATATGCTGCTACACAAAGATGCCCACAGACATGTATACACAGATCCACTCTGAGAGAAACACATACACACACAGATTGACAAACATAGTTACAATGACACATACCGACATACATGCACAGATTTACACACAGATCCACAAAAACTGACGCACATGTACAGATGCAAGCATACAATAAGGGCTCCAGGTAATCACAATCGCAACCTTTGCTGACCAGGTACTTCTGCCATTGTGCGTGTTATTTTTACAAAAGTGCAAATTTCAATTAAAGCTGGCTTTTCTTATTAATATATCTTGTTACACCCCATGGCTGTCGGTCAAACAACCAGTCCTGTTACTTCTTGGATATTTAGCTCATAAGAGATCTGCAGCTTTTGCAAGCTGTGTTTAGCTATACCCCCCCCCCCCCAAAAAAAAAATGCATAATTAAATACATGCATGGTTTTGTAAAGGGTATATTTACTAAACAATGTAGGTGGTTATTTTTTTATTTTATATTTTTGGGCTGTGGGGTGTCCCTTTAAACTTGCTGCATCCAAATCTCAGTATTTGCTGCATCTGAACCCAACCTGCTATTTTGAGTAAGTTTCTTACTTTAACTCTATCTAACTAAAACTACTGGTTGTGTTGAAGGTTTTTACAATTCTCTTTTGTCATTTATATCTTAAGTGGCATACCTAGCAGGACAAAGTACCCTTTCCCTAACCCAGTGGCGTACACATGACCCATGGGGCCCCGGTGCGAAAATTGATCCGTGGCCCCCCCCGTGCGCGTGGGCCGGGCCGCAACACATGGCGGTGGGCACCTGGTCGTAGGGGTTACAGGGCTGCGACCCCTGCGACCGCGGTATGTACGCCAGTGCATGCAGATGCACACACACTTAAAGGACCACTACAGACACCCAGATCACATCAGCTCAATGAAGCTGTCTGGGTGTCAGGTCCCTCTAGTTTTAACCCTGCAGCTGAAAACATAGCAGTTTCAGAGAAACTGCTATGTTTCACTGAGGGTTAATCCAGCCTCTAGTGGCTGTCTCACTGACAGCCGCTAGAGGAGCACACTGAGCGTCCATAGGAAAGCATTGAGTAATGCTTTCCTATGGGCGGTTTGAATGCGTGCGCGGTCGCATTCGGAGCTGAGAGGCTGAGGGATCCTCAGCGCCAAGGGAGTCCGGCGCTGGAGAAAGGTAAGTGCTGAAGACACACACACACTTACAGACGCATACACACTAGCTAACAGACACACATTTACTGACAGAGACACAGTCAGCGACAGACATACATACACACTCACTTACAAAACATACACTCTCATTGACAAACACACACTCACTAACAGACATCAAACAGACTCACTAACACACACACACTCAGTAAGACACACACAGTAACACTCACTAGCAGACACACACACACTAACACTCACTCTAACACTCACTCTAACACTCAATCTAACACACACTCTAACACTCACACACTCTAACACTCACACACACACACTCTAACACTCACACACACACTCTAACACACACACACACTAACACACACACACACTAACACACACACACACACACTCTAACACACACTCTAACACTCACACACACACTCTAACACTCACACACACACACACACACACACTCTAACACTCACACACACTCTAACACTAACACTCTAACACTAACACTCACGCTCTAACACTCACACTCTAACACTCACACTCACACTCACACTCTAACACACACACTCACACTCTAACACACACACACTCACTCTAACACACACACTCACACTCTAACACACACACACACTGACACTCACACACACACTAACACTCACACTCACTCTAACACTCACACACACTAACACATGTTTTTTTATTTTATTTAATCCCCCCAGCCTCCTTACCTTTTGGAGTGCTGGGGGGATTCCCTGGGGTCCAGTGGTGCTGCTGGGCTCCTGGGCGGTTGGCCGGTCGGGCAGGCGGGCGCGCGAGGGAGCACTCAGTGCTTCCTCTTCAGCTCCCTCGCGCGCCGCGTAGGGATGCCGGAGCCGGAAGATGACGTCATCTTCCGGCTCCGGTATCAGTGCGGTGCGCGAGGGAGCAGAAGAGGAAGCACTGAGTGCTCCCTCGCGCGCGCGCCTGCCCGACCGGCCACCCGCCAGCTGGGGTCAGCAGGGCCAGCCTCGGGGGGCCTTGGGGGGCCGGCTCATGGGCCCCCCAGGAGAAGAGGCTGGCCCAGTGGCTACATACCAGGTCGCAGGGGCGGCCGGGCCCCCTGGTGGGCCGGGCCTGGTCGCAACTGCGACCCCTGCGACCCTGGTATGTACGCCACTGCCCTAACCCTAGCTAAACACATAATTTAAGACCCAACCCATCATAATTCTAATAGATGTTTATTCACTTTAAAAGGGAATATAAGAGAATGGACCAGATACAGTTGCAAGAAAAAGTATGTGAACCCTTTGGAATGATATGGATTTGTGTACAAATTGGTCATAAAATGTGATCTGATCATCATCTAAGTCACAACAATAGACAATCACAGTCTGCTTAAACTAATAACACACAAAGAATGAAATGTTGCCATGTTTTTATTGAACACACCATGTAAACATTCACAGTGCAGGTGGAAAAAGTATGTGAACCCCTAGACTAATGACATCTCCAAGAGCTAATTAGAGTGAGATGTCAGCCAACTGGAGTCCAATCAATGAGATGAGATTGGAGGTGTTGGTTACAGCTGCCCTGCCCTATAAAAAACACACACCAGTTCTGGGTTTGCTTTTCACAAGAAGCATTGCCTGATGTGAATGATGCCTCGCACAAAAGAGCTCTCAGAAGACCTACGATTAAGAATTGTTGACTTGCATAAAGCTGGAAAGGGTTATAAAAGTATCTCCAAAAGCCTTGCTGTTCATCAGTCCACGGTAAGACAAATTGTCTATAAATGGAGAAAGTTCAGCACTGCTGCTACTCTCCCTAGGAGTGGCCGTCCTGTAAAGATGACTGCAGGAGCACAGCGCAGACTGCTCAATGAGGTGAAGAAGAATCCTAGAGTGTCAGCTAAAGACTTACAAAAGTCACTGGCAAATGCTAACATCCCTGTTAGCGAATCTACAATACGTAAAACACTAAACAAGAAGGGAGGATACCACAGAGGAAGCCACTGCTGTCCAAACAAAACATTTCTGCACGTTTACAGTTTGCACAAGAGCACCTGGATGTTCCACAGCAGTACTGGCAAAATATTCTGTGGACAGATGAAACTAAAGTTGAGTTGTTTGGAAGAAACACACAACACTATGTGTGGCGAAAAAAAGGCATAGCACACCAACATCAAAACCTCACCCCAACTGTGAAGTATGGTGGTGGGGGCATCATGGTTTGGGGCTGCTTTGCTGCGTCAGGGCCTGGACGGATTGCTATCATCGAAGGAAAAATGAATTCCCAAGTTTATCAAGACATTTTGCAGGAGAACTTAAGGCCATCTGTCTACCAGCTGAAGCTCAACAGAAGATGGGTGTTGCAACAGGACAATGACCCAAAGCATAGAAGTAAATAAACAACAGAATGGCTTAAACAGAAGAAAATACACCTTCTGAAGTGGCCCAGTCAGAGTCCTGACCTCAACCCGATTGAGATGGTGTGGCATGACCTCAAGAAAGTGATTCACACCAGACATCCCAAGAATATTGCTGAACTGAAACAGTTCTGTAAAGAGGAATGCTCAAGAATTACTCCTGACCGTTGTGCACTTCTGATCTGCAACTACAGGAAACGTTTGGTTGAAGTTATTGCTGCCAAAGGAGGTTCAACCAGTTATTAAATCCAAGGGTTCACATACTTTTTTCCACCTGCACTGTGAATGTTTACATGGTGTGTTCAATAAAAACATGGCAACATTTCATTCTTTGTGTGTTATTAGTTTAAGCATACTGTGATTGTCTATTGTTGTGACTTAGATGATGATCAGATCACATTTTATGACCAATTTGTGCAGAAATCCATATCATTCCAAAGGGTTCACATACTTTTTCTTGCAACTGTATTTTACCAAACTAACACACCTAGTAAAAATTCTGGAAAAAGATTGGAGACTTCCCACTTTGCCTATTCGCTATATCCCAACAAACTTTCACCCTAATCCCCTATGTTTAAGAGGACATTCTAAGCACCATAACCACAACAGCACACTCTAGTTGTTAAGGTGGCAGGAGCCAGTTGGCACTGCCCCACTGTTAAATGTCAGTCCATTTTCAACTAGTTTGACACTTAACTAATCCCTCAAGGTACCCAAGGTTTGCCCGTGTTCATAGATATTGCTAAAGTGAATGTTTTCCTTCTATCTTAGCTATATCAGTTGTGTCCAGGACCCTAGATCAAATTTAAGCTACGTTTAGTTAGCTATTGCACTTGCATGTCACCCAATATTAGAGGGGTATGAGATCTGGATGTGTGAGTGAGACTGAGAACTGTAGTCAACAGTGACAATGACTTGAGTCACCGGTGGCGCCCAAAATGGGTTGCAGAGAATGCTGTGCCAATGCGTTAAATGATGTGCTTAGGCTGTGCTGTCCAACGATAGTTCCCTGATGTCCTTGGTTGTGGGACACCAAGGAACTAACCCAGGACGATGGGACAGGACTCCAAAAATGTGACTGTTGTGCCGAAAACAGGGGTTTTGGGGAATTTGCACTTGTCTTTTTTGTAAATTCTTTATTTTTTGTAACAGATTTTCTCAGGAGAACTCAATATGCTAGCAGACCATTTTGTTTTAGATATATATCATATATCATATACATATCATTCATGTATTTAAACTCCTACGCAACACATGAGCTTACTAATTTTAGCTTATGTCTGGGCTGAGATTAAGCAGCTGCTTTAAACAGAGCATGGTGAAAAGAGCGTTCTCAGTGAACCCCATTCCTTTGCACATTACCATTTAATAATTAACTATTGTAACTTTGACACAAAACATCCATTCTAACGTTCTCTAACTAGCTATTCCACACATCCTAAATCTAATGCTAAATAACAACCAAAAATAACAAGTGTCTCACCTCACATGCATAACGCGTTTCTCTCTACCCTGGATCGGAGAGAAACGCGTTATGCATGTGAGGCGAGACAAGACTGTGAGAGAGGAAGGGCTGCTGAGCGATAAATGATTTACAGAGATTCTTTCAAGGTTTTTAATACTTGATTTGTTTTTTTAAAAAATCTGTGTGAATTTTGTTTATAACTCTACTTGAAAAACATTAAATGCTTTAATAAATCTATCTGCAGTCTGGCATATGCCTGGTGGATCCATCAAACTCAACAAGCTTGATCCCTCCACGGCTCTTAAAGTGAGAGCGATACACAATCCACTCAAATGCAGTGAATTTGATACCATAAGATTTGATCTGATTATATGTTTTTAAAGTGTATAGATGTTCTGCACTAGATGTTTTATGTTTTTTTTTGTCTTATAGTTACAACACAAGGAATCATAAAATAATGCTTGATATAAGTATCATCAAGTTTGTATACATTTGTTTTGCGTGCCAACTTTTTGGTTGATAAATCTAATACAAACACTAATCCTTACACACTGCCACTTCCACTACAGTGATTTGCATACGCCATGCCAATCCCACTGTGTAATTGATCCCCTATAAATATTCTATTTCTCGAGACGCAGTCATATCCTAGAAATTGGATATAGTGACACGCAATGTACAATATTTGTAGAACAGAAGCGGAAAGATTAGTTGTGTTTATTCCCATCTCCCATTTCCTTTAAAGACACGTCACATGTTTCAGTCCAACATTAGCTGGCGATTCACTGGCTAGTCAGCCATCCAGGATTCTTTAACAGCCAAAATAAAATATCTTGGGAGAAGTGAAGAAAATGCCTAATCATCAAGGTTATTTTGTTTCCCTCTTGCTGATTATTTGGCTCTGGCAGCAGACTTCAGTTCCTGTCTAGCACACTCCTTCCATTACTTGAAGCTTAGTGTCTGATCAACTTTCAAAAGGATTTACTTTCTCTTCTGACTCACTGGTCCAACTACTGGGTGAGCTATGAATCAATGGATCTTAGAAACTCATTCAGTTTAGGGCAAAGAACCTTCATGTACAGTAAGAACATAAAATTTCATACCTTACATTAAATGTGGGTCTTAGGAAAACCATAAATGAATGTAAGTACCTAAAGGGTTACTCTAAACATCAATATCACTACAGCCCACCAGGAGCCCAGTTGCCTGGTAATGAGACTGAACCATTTAGTAAGAGTTTGCCTTGTTGCCGGGGTCTCTGCTGGATTCCGAGACTCCCTGCTGCTGGAGAGCTGCAGATACACGCGCAATTCATTGGCTGAGAGCGTCCCACTGTACAAAATATCATTTTAATAGAATTAAAATTATCCAGCCTGGAACTCTAGTTCTGAGCTGGCTGTTGACACCCCATGACGCTCTCAAGGTAGAGCTACACCTCTGTGCTGTTAAGGGATTAAACTCCGTATGTGCAGCCATTCACAGCGAAACACTAGACACACAGCCTTCAGGCACAGTGACCACTTCAAATCACTGAAGTGGTCATGATGCTCTGAGGGACCCTTCAAGGGATGGCAAGGGTAGTTTCCAACCTCCGGGGGAAAAAAATGCACATGGATGTCTCAAATACAAATTGGTTGCTCATTTTTGGAGATTTTGCTCAAAATAATTTCTCCACTATATTAAAGGGAAAGTAAGGTTTAATGTTAACACCATAAGTGGACTTTAAGGTCACGAAGAGATGAGTCAAGTGATCTTACATGTTAGTTGTAAATGTAGGTCAAATGGTGGGATAAAGTTTAGCCTCTTTACTCTCTGAGGTTATGTGCTCTGTGTTCATTATGGAGAATGTGTCTCTGTGTGAAACAAGCTTAGTTGTTCGTAGTTAATTTAGTAATGTTTTCTGCCCATTTTGCGCCTGTACCTGAGTTGAATTAGGAATTTGAAGAAATTTAAGAAAGTGACGAAGCAATTACTAGGGGTAAAGGTGGGATAAAGAAGGAAGGGGTTGTATTTCCAGTCCCTTGTATTCCTTGTTAGAGACACGGTGATGACTCGATGTAAGAGATGTTTTTAGTCCTGCTATGTATCCGTCAGTAATGTAATTATGTTATTTGAGGGTCATTAAGATAGGATCCCATGTTTGATGGAAGTGTTTTGATGTCTCATGGATCTTTGCTATCACTGTATTACAAGTTAATTAAAGAAATTCAAGTAGAATCATGACCTTTAGGACAGTGTGTGACCTCCCTGAAACTAAACCCCTTATATGATCATACAGGACCAAATCTAACTATACTAAAGACAAAGCATTAAAGTTTTTGTTTTTAGTTCAAGAAAATGACTCTGAATAATCGTACAAATAACTTAAAACCTGCTGTAAAATGAATTCCTTAATAAATTAAACACAAGTTAAATTATTTCTCTTATTGCAGCTGCAGAAGAATTGCAATTGATACCGGTCCATTTGGAAATCTTATCCGGAGGATTATTTTGTCTCTCGTGTTGTCCCATAATAACCCTGAACAGACCTTAGCAGCATGTTATAAATAAACAGAGAAGCCAGCATGCAAAGGTGGAGAATTAATAACGTTAAAAGGATTGAGGACTCGATACAATGGCCATTCAATAAGTACGGAGTAGGAATGTAGACTGTCAGTAAAGCTGTCACAACATACTGGAAACATCGGAATTAACATTTGTTGTGTTTCAGTAACCAGCGAAAAATCACTGGGGGACAAATGCAAAACTGACCGATCAGCCTCATTCACTTAATTCAAGAGAGCATGCTAACAACTAGTTTGTGCTAAAAAAGGGCATGACAATGGTAGCTAAAGGGCTATCTAGAAGCTATGTTTGTAAATTATTGACCTTCTCTTTGTACACCCACACAGTCACATTTAGGTGTCACATTTGCCCCTCCCAGACCTCCTCTTCACACCGGACACAGGGGCGTAGCGTTGTTTTAATCATCCATTCCCCCCCATATTTCATGTACACCCCCCATTTCATGTCCATTTCCCCCTATTTCCTATCCCCCCATATTTCATGTCCATTTCCCCCCCCCCATTTCATGTCCATTTCCCCCCCCATTTCATGTCCACCCCCCCACTACTGACACACTGAGAGGAAGGGGGGTGAAATCTTTATCATGGAATCACTAGTAGTACACGTGGGCACCCTAGTCACATTCCCCTCTCTCACTGTCCTTCAGCCTTGCTAATCTTCTCTCTACCCTTCATTCTCACCCCAGCATATCTTGAAAACAGGGGTCAAGATTACCACTCACCCACTAGCCACAGCGAGTGTAAATTAAAGTTCTGGCAAATAGAAATTTACAGGCCTGCAGTAATTTTTAGCCCTGTCTAGTAAGGTAGGACCCATTTAAAGCCATGTCTTTCCTATTCACAGGACTGTGACAGAACAGTTACCAAAACAGAAGATTTAAATGTCATTTCAGATTCATCAGTTATATCTTTTTGGGGTAGTGGAAAGATTGGGATTGGGTACAGATGCTGCAGGGTTTCAAAGTGCCTTCCAATCGGCCTCCATATTATTTTAAATAGTGTGTCACATTCTATGTTTCTATGTTTCTATGCTAATATGCCACAATCATCAACTAATTCCTCGCAGTTCTCCACACAGAGGGAATACAATAGAGGGTGGGCTGGGGACAGGGCAGGAATGGTCACTGGGCAAACCAGGCAAATATCTGGGACCACAATTGCCACGGGCTAAGGTTGGCCATGGTAATCACAGGAAATTCCCTACTAACCAATAAAGGGTAGGGTCTCTCTGTCCATCATGGGCCAGTAAAGTTGGGACTCCAGCACCCAAGACTACTGTGCCTGGATTTCTTCTTCTCTGACTGCAATATAAGGAAGGAAAAGACTTGCGGCAGGTAACTGAGACTGAGAGCATCACTAGTGTACTATTAAGAGATATAGTATGTACTTCTGTATGTAATTAATGTTCAACTAACAGAGCAGGCGATTATAACTTCTAAAGTAAATACACAGTGCTGTGAAAATGTAATCTTTTTCCATGGAGACTGTGTGAGTCTCAGGCAGGGGAGGTGTGGCTAGGGCTGCATAAACAAAGTTATTTAAGGCTTACATTATACAGAATTGAGCAGTGAAACAACAGGGACATGATCTATATACACCAAAAGTGTATCATTAAACTAAAGTTGTTGTGGTGCTTGGAGTGTCCCTTTAAGAATTAAAATCATTCAGCGATGAGCCATCATAAACAATTTTTTTTTAAAAGAGGGAGATAGACTTTTCTATCACTGGAGAGTATGGATGTATCACATTGAACCATTTACATGGTAAATGAGTACCCCACAAAATAACTTATAATTTGCTTGAGGTACTTTTATTTGCATGAGTGCTCTAAAAAAAACAAAAAAAAAACATTTACATGAATTCATTTTGCATTTAATGAAACTTAGGGAAGTGTAATTTTAAATTAATTAAATAAGTTTCCTGGACATCTTCGCAGTTACGAACACAGAAAAAAAAAACAAATTTGCATTTTTGACAAATGGAATTGTCTGCACAATTTGCACCATGGATCAAATAACCGCATAGAAGGAAAATACTTACTAAATACTTACTAAAGCAGGAATATTTAGGCCAAACAAATCAAACTGGAAAACGTATCCTACCTCTTTTACAGCTGAACTAGTTTGGCCTAATATGTTCAATTCGCTTGCCAGTTACTGGAAAAAAAACCTTATTTGTTTATGTAAAGAATATATATAATAATTCAGCTCCACCATGAAAATTGATATGTATTGCATCCCGGAGGACTGTCAGTAAATTCAATATCTGAATATATCAAACAATACTACACTGAAAGTATGTCCAACAATTTAACATTGGTTTATCAAACTATGTGGCCTAATCTGTGCTCCCTCATTTAAAGGAACACTGAAAGCACCATAATCACTGAATTGGTTATAGCCAGGAAGTAAGACATCAAAATATTTTAGCAGTCTGCCAACTTACTGGGTCCACCTAGCTTCCATCAAATCAGGCCATCTCCAGAAAGAGAGCAAACCAGGACTAAAATCCGTGCGACAACACCATGTAGCAGGCAATAGTGGTTATTGTGCTTGGAGTCAGGCTTGCAAATTCCTGGTTGGCGTGATGAACATGGGGTAAGGCCGACAGTGGAGATCAGAGGATCTCCCCTGCCGGCCCATGCAGAGCCAGCCTTCCTGTGTGCCCTCTAGAGAGGAGTGAACTCTGCCTGCAGCCAAAGGAAATGAAGGCAAGAGTAACTCACCCCCACTGGACCACGAGGTCCTGCAATGGCCCTTCCTGTGAAAAAGGTATGAAAAAGGTAGGGGGATATAAATATCTTTTTTTTTTTTTTAAAGAAATAAAAAAATTAATTTGCTCACCCCCACCCCTCAACACCCCTATCCTACACTCTGGATCTCCTGCACACAGTAGATCGTCTTTAGACACACACTGTACCACTTACACACACTACATTCCTGACAAACACATTACATCTCCTATGCGCAGACTACAAAAACATGCACTACATTCCCTAAACACAAACTCTCTAAGCCCCTACACACACAATGTAACCTATATACACATACATTACAGCCCCATACACACAATGTAACATATATACATTACAGCCCCTACACACACACACACACACACACACACACAATGTAACATATATACAGATACATTACAGCCCCATACACACAATGTAACATAAATACATTACAGCCCCTACACACACACACACACACACACAATGTAACCTATATACACATACATTACAGCCCCATACACACAATGTAACATATATACATTACAGCCCCTACACACACAATGTAACATATTTACATTACAGATCCTACACACATACACAATGTAACCTATATACATTACAGATCCTACACACATACACAATGTAACCTATATACATTACAGATCCTACACACACAATGTAACCTATATACATTACAGATCCTACACATACAATGTAACTTATATACATTACAGCCCCTACACACACAATGTAACATATATACACATACACTACAGCCCCTACACACACAATGTAACATATATACACATACACTACAGCCCCTACACACACAATGTAACCTATATACACATACATTACAGAGCCTATGCACAGCCCTGTACACACACTATGCCCCCTATAAACACAGCATACACACACACTACAGCACCTATATACACATACACTACAGCGCCTATGCACACCCTTGCTGCATCCCCTGTACACACACTATGCCCCCTATACACACACACACACACACACACACTATACACACAACAGCAGCTATACACACACTCTTTCTGCAGCCCCATGTCACACATATTATACCACAAGCAAAAATTATTCCTCGAGCTTCTCAGAACAAATACAGGGCATTTTTCTCATTTAAGAGCTCTTCAGCGGGGCTTTGATCAAAGGCTGCCCTAGCAGAGCATTGAACCAAAATGCTCACTCTGAGAGGCCATGCTTGTCATTGGTGATGACACAAACCACCCCTCTGGTCTCATTCCCTTGCCACTGGGCTGCTGTGAGTAAAATATGCCTGAGCCGTATTTTTTTTTACAGTCCGACCTTGCTTGGGCTGTTCTTTTAATTGTGGGCAATGCCACCTCATTTTACAATCACCCACCAAACAACAGGTAATCTGAGGGTTGGCACTTGGATCTTGAAAATGGAAGGAGTTTTTAGGATAGAGACAAACTGTAACGGATCACCTGGCACCCCGACTGGGTACCTCCGTTGAAGGATGCTCCTAGCGCTTCCTGAGAACTCCAAGCACTGCAGCAGACACCACACCACCAAACCGGAGAAGCATACAAATGCTCTCAAGCATATGTAAGCAGATGAACAGGAAAAGCATACAATCAGCTTACACTCCTGGCAATCAGCATACAATCCAATTCCCCCAATAACGAGACGACACTTCGTTTTGAGGTCAAGCAGAACTGCCTGTACTGGCACATACAGCCTCTTTTATTCACAATCCACAAACATAGTACTGCCCACAGGGTTTTGAAATACAACCAATCAATCCGTACAATACACACAGACACTCACACAAAATCCTCCCCTCTGCCTGTGATATGATTACTGAACACAATGGTTAATCTAATTATCACAGGCAGAGAAATACAGTATTATAAAACATATCACAGGGACCCCAAAACATGCAATAACCCCATAAAAGTATATCCTCAGAACCGGGGGATCTGGGTGAACCACATATCCAAAATTCACCCAGATCCGTTCAGTAGTTTGGAAGATACGGTTTAATGCAGATTCCACAGAACATATACAGGCTATATGAAAAATAATTACTGTTAAATGTGTCCCCTGTTCTGTAGTTTAAAACTACTAAACGGTGTCTTTGTGCACCAAATACCATCGAGATGGCACCGTGTAGAAAAGTCAAAACAGTGTGAGTTAAAATGGCCGCCATCCATTGTTCTCACCATGTGCTTCATCCATTGTTCTCACCATGTGCCTCTGATACATGAAATGGTGGCCACCCAGTAACTCCACAGTATGTCCCCAGATGGTTCTTAAAGGGCCAGCAGCAGCACATCACAAATCCATTATGCCCAAATCATGTCTTTAACCCCTTAAGGACCAAGCTTCTGGAATAAAATGGAATCACGACATGTCAGACATGTCATGTGTCCTTAAGGGGTTAAAGGGCAATACATCCCAGGGGCCATAGTCACATGGCATGAGGCTGGCAATCAGTCTTCTCCAATGCCCAGTGGCGAGGTTGGTTTCGCCACACAAACTGTTACTATGTTTTACTGCTTGTGGCTATAACCACTTACACTTTATAATTTCTCATCCATCATTTATTCCAGGAAAAAAATGCTGAAAATACTAAGTAAAGCTTAAAGTGGCTCTGTCACCTCAAACCTCTTTTTTCAGAATCTGTTCTTTTATTCATGTCTGATATATTTTTTTCTTAAAAACATAAATAGGGAACTATTTTTTCCTAAGCTTGACATTCTTGACAAAGGGTGGAGCTTAAGGCATGCTTTGCCCTTTGTTAACTTGAGAAAGGCAGTGGACCTTGCCTTAAGCTCCACCCTTTGTCACAATTGTCTAGCACAGGGGTTCCCAATTAAGTTTTCCCATGGAATCCTTTGACATAATGCGCTAACAACATGGAACTCCAAAATATTTTTGTCGCCGTAGCGCAGATGGTAAAGATGGTAGTACTTAGGAGCTGGTGTGCATTTCTGTGTACAGTTAGTGTTTGTATATAATGTTAGCGTTTTGATACAGGGGTGGGTTTGTATGTAATGTTTGCATTTGCATGCAAGCATGTGTTTGTATGTAATGTTTGCATTTGCGTGCAGACGTGTTAGCTTTTAAATGCGGATGTACGTTTGTGGAAAGGCAGTGTTTATATTAAAAAGCCTGCAGGGACTGACTATACTCACCAGAACAATTACTTTACGTTGTAGTTGTTGTGGTGACTATAAGTTTGAGGTGACAGAGCCACTTTAAACGAGCGTTCCAAGAACCGTGACCACTAGAGGACACAGTGGTTATAATGTCAAGGATAACAATCCAATCATAAGCTTTTAAACCACTATAGCACAGTTTGACGCATACCTTGGCCCTACCAGGAGCCCACATTGATTCTAGTCTTCTCACAGCTGGAGAACCCAGCTGTCAGTTTTGTTCAGAACAGCTACTCATTCATCTCATTATTGGCAGAGAGTGCTGAGATGAGACTCTCAGCCAATAAATGCACACCCACAATACATCAGGATCCAGCTTCTCCCATTCAAGTAGACTAGAAGCAGGGCTGGCACCCAGTGGGACCCAGGGTCAAATCAATTTGACAGATTACTCTGGGACTAGATCAGAGCACTCCTGACACCACAACCACTACAGCAGGCTGTAGTGGTTATGGTGCTGGGAGCGTTTCTTTAAAAGTCTGCCTGCAAGATTAATGGTTTCTAAACATAGCTCTTTTAAAGAATCGTAATGGCAGATACAAGAACTAGCAAAACCGACCACATGTGTGAATAATGGTCTACAAAAACAAAAAATTATCATATAATTACTTTCATTGAAATTAAAGCGATATTACTAGACTGTCTCATTTAGATAAGTCAATTACACTATTATGACTTCCCTCTGACATTTATAAACAAGAGTGGAATACACAATAATTACTCCGAATACAGTCGGCACAGTGATTTGTAACAACAGGAACCATTCACTGAACAGCGAATAGACACACCTTAACAATCAGCTTCCAAAATTCAGATCAAAATACCCACATTGGAAAAGTAAAACTACAACTTCTAAGCTGGTTTGGAGAAATCTGCAAGTTGCCTTTTAAATTCATTAGAGCTCACTGCTTAGCTAATAGACCCCATGCACCCACAGTAGAAATGAGTGAACTCTCTGAATAAAGCTGTAAATATATATATTGTTTTATTTCTATTCATTGTTTCTTATTCCCCTTCACTTTTCCCCTTCTTCAGTTCATTGAGTGGTTCGGAGGGCAGATCTTTTGGGACTTTAACCTTATTATTTAATAATCTAATTTCTAAGACTTCTGCTATAAAATTTTACCTTTTCTCATTGAGTTCATGGTTACCCCTACTACCCACTCATGTTTTAATCAACACGTTATTATTAACTTCATTTTTTCTATATGCAGATGTTCTCATTTGTACATTTCAAATAGTTTCTATAGTTTAGTACACCTTTAGTATACCTTCAATAAAGTTATTTTCAATCTTTATTTTATTTTTACTTCTATTCTGTAGCCAATTTTGCTGTTTAGATTTATGTACCTAATAGATGGTTTCTACTACTGGATTTGTTTCATACATGTGTACAAGCCCAATCCTTTAGGGATTCAGATCTAGTGACTACTGTTAGTTAATTTTTAGTTTGTTGAACTCTCTGAATATAAAAGTGTCTTAACTATCACACCTATTATATCACTGTGGTAATTAAATTGGATAGGCAGAAGGCCAGGAGCAGAAACAAGATAGGATGGATGGATGGATGATGGATGGATGGATAGATAGGAGGTATATAGATAGATAGATAGATAGATAGACACACAGACAGATAGAAAGAAAGATTGGAGGTAGGTAGATAGGCTGGAGGTAGATAGGTAGATAGATAGATCAATAGATAGTTAGATAGATAGATAGATAGTTAGATAGATAGATAGATAGATAGATAGATAGATAGATAGATAGATCGATCGAGATAGATAGAACTGGAAAATTTAGGATACCACTAATTTATGAGAATGCATGAATGGTTTGCTATTACCTGGGGAGTTACTAATGTTAGTTATATTTATTATATTACTCTATGCCAAATCATGTAAACGAGACAGTCTGACAGAAACCCATTTATTTTGTATCCAGTTTAGACATTCTCTCTGCAGTCCCTGTACACCTAATCATCCTATGCTGCAGTGTGGACCCTATGCAGACACAGACACTAATATCAAAGCATGCAGGACACTCTTTACAAAGATTACAAACAGACACAGAGCATTGAAAAAGAAGTGTGTTCTCCTTACCCCACTAGGTATGCCAGAATGGACAGCTGGACAATACGGAATAAAACCCCCACCTTTTTGTTCTTGGCAATTACATATTTCTCAGTCTTATAGTCAAAAAGTGACATGAACATGCCTTTCCAAGCGACCTGCCCCATTCTCCCAGAGCCTGTTCACATTGCAGCAGTGAGGGAGAGGGCATGGAGTGCAGGGGAATGCAGCTCTGATTCAGCCTGAAACATGAGATACAGACAGCAGCTGAGACAGGCTTACACCGTATCCTCTCCTCTCACTGCTGACTATCTGCTACTTCAACCTATAACAAGGACTGTAGCCAAGTGTGCAGACCAGTTGGCTGTCAGTCAAAGGCTGGGTGGTGACGTCACCTTGCCACTGACACATTCTCCTGAAGATTCTCTTTAATAAAAGTGTCCATTCCCTGCCCTGTGAGACAGGCAAGTGTTGCAATCATTTGCATTCATTAAATAGATATGATACTGTTTAAAACTACTTAGATGGCTAAAAAGAGGTTTTAGTTGCCCCCGAGGAAGTTCAATTAGTTGAACGAAACGCGTAGGGCTATTTGTATTAGTGCAGAATTGTATTATTATTTTTATTTATTTATTTGTTTTCATTTATTTTTCATTTACCGTATATATTTTTTTCATTTTGAATGCTGTTTCTTCCGGTGTTCCAGCCTACTGGGATCCTGTGATTGAATCAATTCTATATGATGTGTCTGTTTTTTACTTCAATTTTGTAAGTGTGTTTTTACATTAAAGTGTTCACTTTGATTGAGATACTCTGCACTATCATTATTTTTCCTTTCTCCTTCATATTTGCCACGATGCTCCGCAAGTCTTGAGGTTTCTACTATATTGATGATATGCCTACAATCAATTTTGGTTTGTGAGTGTGATTATTACATTTACTTTCCACCTCAAAATTGTTTCCCTTTGTTATTATTGTATTGTAGATTTTTTTCATTTTCCATACCATTTTAAGGACAGTGAGGAGTCCTTATCTACAGTACTTATAGTACAAGGGTAATTGTATTTAGGATTTTTTTCTATTTGTTGCCCACTAAGTGTGTGTTCTATCCACGATTTGGTGTATCTGCACATTTTCGTATAAGGAGGGGATTATGCATGGAAGGGATAGTAGGAGGAGGATTATGAATGGAAGAGGGAGAGGAGGGGGATTATGAATAATACAAGGGGCAGAGGAGGGGGATTATGAATGGAAGGGGCAGAGGAGGGGGATTATGAATGGAAGGGGCAGAGGAGGGGGATTATGAATGGAAGGGGCAGAGGAGGGGATTAAGGAATGAAAGGGGTAGGATGAGGATTATGAATGAAAGGCAGAGGAGGGATCATGAATGGAAGGGCAGAGGAGGGGGATTACGAATGAAAGGGTAGGAGGAGGATTATGAATGAAAGGGCAGAGGAGGGGGATTATGAATGAAAGGGGTAAGGAGGATTACGAATGAAAGGGGTAAGGGGGATTATGAATGGAAGGGGTAGAGGAGGGGGATTATGAATGGAAGGGGCAGAGGAGGAGGATTATGAATGGAAGGGGTAGAGGAGGTGGATTATGAATGGAAGGGGTAGAGGAGGGAGGATTATGAATGGAAGGGGCAAAGGAGGGAGGATTATGAATGGAAGGGGCAAAGGAGGGGGATTATGAATGAAGGGGGTAAGGGGAGGATTATGAATGAAAGGGGTAAGGGGAGGATTATGAATGGAAGGGGCAGAGGAGGGGGATTATGAATGGAAAGGGCAGAGGCGGGGGATTATGAATGGAAAGGGCAGAGGAGGGGGATTATAAATGGAAGGGGCAGAGGAGGGGGATTATGAATGGAAGGGGTAGAGGAGGGGGATTATGAATGGAAGGGGCAGAGGAGGAGGATTATGAATGGAAGGGGTAGAGGAGGTGGATTATGAATGGAAGGGGTAGAGGAGGGAGGATTATGAATGGAAGGGGCAAAGGAGGGAGGATTATGAATGGAAGGGGCAAAGGAGGGGGATTATGAATGAAGGGGGTAAGGGGAGGATTATGAATGAAAGGGGTAAGGGGAGGATTATGAATGGAAGGGGCAGAGGAGGGGGATTATGAATGGAAAGGGCAGAGGCGGGGGATTATGAATGGAAAGGGCAGAGGAGGGGGATTATAAATGGAAGGGGCAGAGGAGGGGGATTATGAATGGAAGGGGTAGAGGAGGGGGATTATGAATGGAAGGGGCAGAGGAGGAGGATTATGAATGGAAGGGGTAGAGGAGGGGGATTATGAATGGAAGGGGTAGAGGAGGGAGGATTATGAATGGAAGGGGCAAAGGAGGGAGGATTATGAATGGAAGGGGCAAAGGAGGGGGATTATGAATGAAGGGGGTAAGGGGAGGATTATGAATGAAAGGGGTAAGGGGAGGATTATGAATGGAAGGGGCAGAGGAGGGGGATTATGAATGGAAAGGGCAGAGGCGGGGGATTATGAATGGAAAGGGCAGAGGAGGGGGATTATAAATGGAAGGGGCAGAGGAGGGGGATTATGAATGGAAGGGGTAGAGGAGGGGGATTATGAATGGAAGGGGCAGAGGAGGAGGATTATGAATGGAAGGGGTAGAGGAGGTGGATTATGAATGGAAGGGGTAGAGGAGGTGGATTATGAATGGAAGGGGCAGAGGAGGGAGGATTATGAATGGAAGGGGCAAAGGAGGGAGGATTATGAATGGAAGGGGCAAAGGAGGGAGGATTATGAATGGAAGGGGTAGAGGAGGGGGATTATGAATGGAAGGGGTAGGAGGAGGATTATGAATGGAAGTGGTAGAGGGGGGAATTATGAATGGAAGGGGTAGAGGAGGGAGGATTATGAATGGAAGGGGTAGCTGAGGGAGCTATGAATGGAAGGGGTAGGGGGGCTATGAATGGAAGGGGTAGGTAAATAAATTATATACCTCATTAGACCATCAGGGATTAATAAACCCCTAGTCAACCCAAGATTTAGAATTTCTGCTGGACCACCAGGGATCCTAGCTCCCTCCCTGCAAAAAAAAAAAAAGTTAAGCAAGTGGGGAGCACAAAAACATATTTTAAAATTTATTTCAGAAATGCAAAATGAAATGGAGAGGCTGGAGTTGCAACATACAAACAAATCCACCTCACTAATAGCTCACACAGACCACACATCCATCACACACATGTCACACACAACACTCTCAGCCACCACACACCCACATACATATTACACTCAGGAATCAAACACAACACTCTCAGCCACCACACAGCCACATACATATTACACACACTGGAATCAAAAAGAGAACATTCCGCCGCCACACACCTACATACATAGTACTCAGGAATCACACAACACACACATAGCCTTATAGTCATAATGGGAAAACTAAATCCATAAAAACTTACAATGGTCATTGTAACGGATCGATGGGAACCCCGACTGGGTACCTCCATTGAAGGATGCTCCTAGCACTTCCTGAGGACTCCAAGCACTGCAGCAGACACCATAACCACCGTAGACTCCTCCAGAGAGCAAGGCAGGAACAAGCTCTTACAAGAGCTTAGTAGTGATTTAGCAAGGGAGTATGACAAGCATAGCAATCCCTTGTAGCAGATTCCACCAATAAGAGACGGCACTCCAAATTGAGGGTGAAGTAGAACTGACTGTGCTGTGTCTTTATTGGCCTTGTATACACATTTTACAAAGTCCCACCCACAGGGTTTTGTGGAACATCCAATCAAAACATACAACACAGATAAATACTCCCACAATGACATCACAATCCCTCCTCTCTATCCTGGAGATAATTGGGAAGTAATCCAATTATCTCCAAGGACAGAGGCAAAACTCCATTAACCACATGGCAGACAAAGGACAATAAAAAACATTAAAATATACAATGTTACATTTATTACATAAAATACACACATGTAACATATCCCCAGATAGCTTAGATCTGAGCGCACATTATTACTGAATGGCGCTCAGATCTCACACATACAGTTCAATTGCCATGGAGCCAAAGTCCCTTATTACATGAATAGGCTCCATGGCATAGCTATCTTGGTTAAAGTATCACATAGTTAAAGTCCTGATTGATCCGGCGTTCGGCTAAACGACCGGAGCTAGAAGCAGGGAAGGCTCAGCGGTGTTCGCAAGTAAAAGTGTCCGCTTTCAGTTCACTGAGTCTGGGCTGAACACCGCTGGCCGTCCAGGAGCTGCAGAATACCGCCACCGTCCGTTAGCTATGTGTAACCGCGACCACCCGGTGTAGTCAATTAAGCCTTCGTTAGTTTGTTCGGTAGATTGAATCTACCGAACGCCCTGGCAGAAAGGCACGAACAAGCCTTTCTGCAGGGAAAATAAAGTGTTTTAACTGCCGGTCCATAGTCTAAGGGCAGCAGGCGGGCAACCAGGCTTCTCCAGTGCCCAGTGGCGAGGTTGGTTCCGCCACAATACCGAATGCAGGAAGTCAGTACAGTTTTAGGTGAACAATCAAACGAATGCTTTTAAAATCCACACGAAAGCCTTATGACAAATCCATACGGAAGTCTTAGTAGTTAAATAGCAAAGTAATAATGAATCCGCTGTACAGTCCAATGTCTCTGCTATTCCATATGTCCTTGGCTGGCTCTCAAAAGGGCCAGCAGTGCTATGCCAACCTCCATTATGCCCAGCCATTGTGTTTAAAGGGTCCCATCTTCCCGGGACCATAATCACTGGGCAGGCGGCGAGCAAGCAGCCCCCTCCAGGAAACCGGGGCAGACTCTTGTACAGAGGCTAGTCCGCTACAGTCATACATTTATCGTAAAGTATTGACATTTTGTGGTGTTTTGTTTTTGTTTTGTTAGGTATTTCACCTGATGTAAATGCACATTTTCCTTTAAATACGTTATTTATTGGATCTGGGAATTGTGATGGAATCATTGTGCACATTACTATAAGTTTTTTTTTGTAAATCTTGTTTATTGAGTCATGAAAGTCAGCAATAATTAGGCTCGCTAGCCAGCAAAAAGTACAAAGTTAACAATATAAGTCATAAAAAACAAGAAGGTTCATAAATCCAATATAATAACAACGTAACAATTCACGCTAGGATCGTAAGCCACATTACTATAAGTTGTATTGCTGCAGTAACTGAGCTATGTGTAACATGGTGTGAGTTTTAATGCAATGAGGCCAGTACTATACTCACACCCTCCAGATATTGCTGTGAGTTGTATTACTGTGGAGCTATGATACATTCATCTACTATACACATTACTGTACATTTTATTGCTGTGGAGCTCTGTTAAAAAATTCATACACACTACAAATTAGTGTGAGTTTTAGTGTGGTGGAGCTCTGCGATACTCATACACACTGTACATTACTGTGAGTTTTAATGTGCTGGAGCTTTGTCATACTTGTGCACACTGTACATTACTGTGAGTTTTAGTGTGGTGGAGCTCTGCGATACTCATACACACTGTACATTACTGTGAGTTTTAGTGTGGTGGAGCTTTGTCATACTTGTGCACACTGCACATTACTGTGAGTTTTAGTACTAAGGCGCAGGGGCGTACCTAAGGGTTGGCGAAACTGGCCACTGCCGAGGAGGGTGCAAAAATCAGTTGTTAGCATGGCCGGCCCATGCACAGGTACTGTCTGATGGGACCAGGGCCGTCTTTAACACAGGACAAAAGGGGCAGCTGCCTCGAGTCCAGTTATTCCTGGGGGGTGGGGGGCAAAGCAGCTGCACCTTGAGTCTACAATGTTCATTTCTTCATGCAGCCTTTCGGCCACCGGACATCGCGGTGGGAGGCGGCCGAATCAACATTAAAGATGGCCCTGGCCATGGCCCCAGGCAGCACTTTCGCAGGGGCTGCTGGAGGGGAAGATGAGACTTATGAGCAGGGCCGGCATGGGGGAGTTTGGGGGATTTGCGCCATCTACACTGGTACCTTCTGTACCTGCTTAATGAACTGTACAAGACAAAGCTTTGTCAGCCAAACAAAAGCAATTGCCATACATTTAACCTTTCTGCTGACAGCAGCGGGGGATACATTCTTGTACTGCATCGGTGTGACATCCTGTCTAGAACTCATATGTAATGAAAACAGGAGCCTCCCATAGGTGGGCATTTGGGGTGACAGTTGAGTGGGGGAAAGGCTGGCAACTTTTCATCTGGGGGCAAGAACAAACAAAGTCCATTTCCCCCCTCACAATTACCCTGTTTTCCATGACTCCATTGACACCAAACTTGCAAACACCTCCATGTTACACATAATAGACATGTGCAATGCATTTAGTTCTGAACCAGGTTTTGTCCAAATGCATCCGAATTTATCAGTTCGGAAGCATCCAAACTTCTTATACAACAAATTGAAAACAAATGAATTTGGAATGACTTGAAACAAATCAAAGCATAAGGGTACCAAATTAAGGAGCAATTGTGTTTAGAAGATTGCTCCTATATTTAGTATCCTTAAATATGGAAATTCCACGTAAGGATAGCAAGTTAGGGAGAAATAAACAGATGAAAGATCAAAACACTACACTACACTACAGTCACCTGAACAACTTTAGCTTAATGAAGCAGTTTTGGTGTATAGAACATGCCCCTGTAGCCTCACTGCTCAATCCTCTGCCATTTAGGAGTTAAATCCCTTTGTTTATGAACCCTAGTCACACCTCCCTGCATGTGACTTGCACAGCCTTCCATAAACACTTCCTGTAAAGAGAGCCCTATTTAGGCTTTCTTTATTGCAAGTTCTGTTTAATTAAGATTTTCTTATCCCCTGCCATGTTAATAGCTTGCTAGACCCTGCAAGAGCCTCCTGTATGTGATTAAAGTTCAATTTAGAGATTGAGATACAATTATTTAAGGTAAATTACATCTGTTTGAAAGTGAAACCAGTTTTTTTTTTCATGCAGGCTCTGTCAATCATAGCCAGGGGAGGTGTGGCTAGGGCTGCATAAACAGAAACAAAGTGATTTAACTCCTAAATGACAGTGAATTGAGCAGTGAAATTGCAGAGGAATGATCTATACACTAAAACTGCTTTATTTAGCTAAAGTAATTTAGGTGACTATAGTGTTCCTTTAAGAAAAACGCCCATACTCTGTCGACCAATATCATTGGCTTTGCTGGGTGTACACAGTGTAAAAGTCTAGTTACATGATATCACCTGGACCCTGTCTTCTAATCAGTCGGCTATTTAAATCCCATCTCAGACACATACTCTAAACCAAAACCAGGATTTCCCAATTAATTTTTAACTCACTATTGACTTCCAGTTCTCTGTATCATGACCAGAGTTCTGCGTTGGCTTTCCTAGTCTTAAGAGACGCCCATTCATTTTTGTTTATATTTTGTGCTCCAGACTCAGGTTTGTTTACATCCACTATATACATCTTGTCATTGACCTAGTTTGTTTATCTGATATTGACTATTTTTATCATCATGTGCTTCCTAACAAAGTCAACTTCCTTCTAGCTACACGCTCTGACCTTTTCACCTCTGTGAGGCCTTTGTGTCCAGACTGTCCCCTCAAAGTACAAGTTAGTAGCATACTGTCCCGTTTTCCTAAGAAGTTGTATCACTCTTTTTTTGCTTCCACTGTTGATCTCTCTATCCCATATCTGATCTCCTAAGCACTATAAACGGCCTACATTGGGGCAAAGAGAGAAACTTGATTTGGGTTCATAAACACATCTAAACACCAGACAATCTAACCTTTTTTTTTTTTTTAATAATAGATGATTCTGATATATTTCAATACCCCTTGGTATGAAAGCCCATACCTTACCAATAGTACAAAAAATGGATTTGGCTTGAAAACTTTATTTCTGTCAAGGATTGTGCCTTATTCAAATGTATATATTTTCCAATATTTTTAATTTAAGAATCTCCATATCTTCATTTTATGAGCCGCTGGACTGGGTTTACATGTGGATAAAAGCATTGTTCGTGGATAAAAGTGTTGGTCATTTGATGAGGTCTACAAACCTTATCCCCAATGCATCTTACCCATTTTTGCATCCTCTTGGGGTAAAGATTTAGTGTGCGCCTTGTAGGCATATATATCAGTAATGCTTGCTATATTACAACCAACCAATTTGATTTTAACCCTGCCCTAAAGTATCATGGCTCCAGTGGTTGCTACTACAACTGTTACCTATGACGGGTCTACAATTGATACTATCACTAAAGTGAAGATTAAAAGTGAATTTCACATTTTAAACCAAAATAATTGAACTGAATTCTCACTTTAGTGCATGACCCCCCGTGTATGTTCGACTCCCATATGGACAATGTTCTGAATGTTAGACTGTGTGTTATCTGTTTTTTGTTTTTTTATACCTGACTTTATGTCCTTAGACCTTGCTTTTCCATTTGCTGGTCTCTCTGTGCTGTTATTGAAAAACATGTTATAAAAAAATTATAGATGAAAAGAAATGCTCACTATTGGCAGGTAATCACTTCTTTTTTTTTTTTTTTTTAAATATTCAAAATGTTTCTCATATATCAAGTCTGTTTACATATTTTATTTTCTCAGTGGCATTCCCAGAGTTTGTAAATGTAATACTAATATTGCCTGCTATAAATGTATCAGTGAACAGACAGATGTACAAATTAGACTGGGACTCTTGTTTCGAGCTTTGAGTTGAGTCAAAGCCAAGATAAAATATTTAGCTAATGTCTCTTAGATGCTGCTGACATGGCAGTGATTAAGGCCTTTTACACGGTTTTAGAAGCGTTTATTGAAGTTCATCAGAAAAGCTATAATTCACATCCATCTCACTAATTACCTCAGCAGATCCAGATGGATTGACTTATTGGGCATTTTGGCAAACTGTTACAATATATGGTGCCTTCGACAAGTTTTCAAACCTCTGACTATTTCTCAGATATCACACGAACGGTAGACTGAAGTTGCTATGCTATACATTTTTTAAACCATGGAAACTCAAAATCTATTTTTTGAGGTGGTTTTATTTTGCAAATATAATAAACTGAAAATGTTTGCCGGTGTAAGTATTCAACCCCTCTGCTGTGTGAGTTCCAAGTATTCAAAGAAGAGAGAAAACTGAGTTATCCTGTGATTTTCCTGAATCATTTCATTGTTGCCACAATATTTGGGGGATAAAAAATTAAAAGGGTCGTTGTTCGGGCTGTGTCTCTGAAGAAAAATTAAGATCATCTATAATATATTCGACTATTTAGATATACCAGGAATCATGGTTTGCTCAATAAACAGGTATGGATGTTGCATGAAACTCAGGCACATTCAAAGAAAGGCATTTGCAAACTCAGAACTCCAACTAGAATACATGTGAGAGAAGGCATTGAGGGGCCAGTAGTAACATGGATTTGTGGTTGTGAAACTGAATTATGGTGCACCAATAAGACATATCATATATCACTGGTTAGTATGGATCTACGGCATAAAAGACTTTATACAATATCCAACTTTATTTAAGGTGAATTTAGAATCAAACTAGAAAATGTTTTAAATATTAAAAATAATAAATCCATTGATATCTGAATATGTGTTTAATTTTAAAAATATATGTATATACATATATTAGATGTTCTCCCAAATAAAACATGCATGTCTTTTTGTCTGCATGTTTTCCTTGGCAGTTTTCGTAAAAAAAGCTGGTAAATGCTGCTGCAGCCTTTGCAAGCCCTCCCATTTTTCACAGACACAGACTTTCAGTATATGCTGGGACATACTTCAATCATAGGCTTCTCAAAGGTGCCCATGAGGGCAGTGTTCCTAAGCTTCTCAATGAGCTGTAATGCAGCCCATTGATAAGGGGGAGGGACAGGCACTCGCTAGCCCAGCACACCTGTTAGCTTTGTAGAGCAGAAGAAAGCATTCCTGCTTATCCCTATCTAATCAACAGCCAGGGAAGTATTTCGGCTTCGAATTGTAAAAGAGTCGATTTCTATAAGAATCGTCTCTTTTATACTCCAGCAATTTGAAGTGCGTTATGTGTGTGGAGTGTTCCTAAATCTTGTGTTGTAGACTTCCAGGTGAAAATAGAAGAACTTATAACAATAATTGGCTGCAAGTCAAGATGGAGCCGCTTACGTCCATATGGAGTCAAGATGGAGCCGCTTACGTCCATATGGAGTCAAGATGGAACCGCTTACGTCCAGATGGAGCTGCTTACAGCAGTGTTCATTTCTACATTTCAGGTTGTTTTTTTTCAAACCTCAAAACTCCATATTTATTAAATATAGGGATAAACATATTATTAAAAATCGTAGGACGGAAGGCAGAACCTTCATGACCTCCATGCTGACGATGCAGTACATTGCAGTATGAAGATTGCTCTGGTGGCTGTCTACCAGACTAGAATTGGGTAAACGAATAAAGAGTTATGTAAGTTGTAACCCTTTACATCGCCGGGTCCCGGAGGTTGGGGGGATTGTGGGGGCATAGAAAAATGTTAGGAATGCATCTTTAAATTCTAAGTTAAAAAAAAGAATAGCTCTTCAGTGCTAACTAACCATGATTTGTCACACAACACAGGAATAACAGGTGCTACTGCAAATCTAGGTTGGGCTGTGCTAACTGGGTGTAGGTGCTGTTACATGTTTGACACAGTGTTATTATTTTGAATGATTACTTTCTGATTTTCTGAAACCGAGCATTTTATATAGTAGTAATATTAATAACACCTTTGCTTGGCTGCAATGTGTTACAGTAGGAAAGACCTATTTACTTTGGTTCTCACTTAGCAGAATTTATTAATGCATATAATTTTAGGGATGCCGTAAAAGCAACATTTAGAAACAGTTTGTCCCTGTATGAGAACATTATTTACAGCCTAAAGCACAATGCATTCAAAATGGAAACATAGCCCCCCCCAAGGTTCAGCATGTACCGAAAAAAAAAAACCTCTAATGTTTTAAAACCAGACACATTCTAGATAACATTTAAAATCTTTGCAACATCCCAACCTGAATATAATATTGGAGCTTTTAGGTGGGTCCTTCTTCAGTCAAATTCTTTATACCTTTTCTATCCTATACTTTTGTTCTTACAATTCTTCTCTCCCTTTGCCCTCGAAGTCCTTCTTTTCATCCCTCTTTCACAAATATTAAATAAGCTATTTTATATTACCCATGTGATCATTGGCATACACACAATCCATGGGGCCCCGGTGCAAAACTGATCCATGGGCGCCACCCTCCCCCTGATGTACGCCACTGCATGTAATACAGATACACGTTTGACAATGACGTCTTATATCTCATAAAGGGTTTACCCCCTATTCTACCGGATTTTTCAAGATCATCGATTGTGACCATTTATGTGTTTTCTTTCTACTGTTCACGTTCACTTAATAAAACCTGATTTAACACAAAGACTTGTGGAGTATTAGATGCGGGTGATGCACTTTGTAATTATCACTGATTGTGTATTTGACTTTCATTTGAAGGTATATGAAGTATTCATAGTCCTTTAAACAAGTCAGGTCAAACACTTGAGAGGTCAGGAGAGTAAATAAGCCAAAGGTGAGTAAAAATCATAGCTAACAGACTGAGTTACAATCTCAAAGGAAAGTCAAAACACTCAATCAGAGAAACTACTATCAATGAAAAGTTATATGTTGTGTATTGTCCCGATGTCTATGGATATACAGGTACTGCAAAGCTCCCAATTACTGGTATAACATTTTGAGGACAACCATGTATATGTAAGTCAGCTGACAAGAAAAAGACATAAGCACAATAAACTAAATACAATTATTTAACAGAGCTCTACCCAACAAATTATAGACATACATGATGACGCTATATAAATAACATAATAATAATAATAATACACAAAGAAAAAAATCTCAAGTTATTACAAGACATATAAGTTAGAACAAACAGGTTCAGTCTTGGCCCTCCCACTGATGATGCAATGTGATACTTACAGAGACACTGTAGTCACCAAAACTTTAGCTTAATGAAGCAGTTTAGTGCCCCATGCAGTCTCACTGTTCAATTTACTGTCATTTAGGAGTTAAGTCACTTTTGTTTCTGTTTATAAAGCCCTAGCAAATGGTTTCATTTCCAACCAGTTAAGTGTGTTTACTTAGATTTTGAACTTCAGTTGTAAACAATTGAGGCTCATGCAGATCCTAGTGGCTATTAACAGAACAGGTGACATGAAATTCTAAATTAAACAGACTGTGCAATAAGAGAAGTTTATGCATTAGAGCTCTGTTTACTGGAAGTGTTTAGGAAGGCTGTGCAAGTCACATGCAGGGGAGGTACGGCTAGGGTGGCATAAAAAAAAGTTATTTAACTCATAAATGGCATGATCTGTACACTAAATTCACTTCATTAAGCTAAAGTTGTTTTGGCACTCATAGTGTTCCTTTAACAATGTTATTATATTCGTGACTTATTGTTCTAGACCAATGGCATAAATGTTTAAGTTAAAAATCCTAAAGTAAAATCAAAATGTATTTTGCCTGGAGTTCAGTATAAATTAAGATGGAACCCAGACACAAGGAAGAGAGCACTCTTGTGAATCGCCATTACCTGAGAAGACCTGAACTGGAATAGGCTCCAACTCAGTGGTAGAAAGCAGAATGTAGGTTTGGGGATGTGGAACGATGCTCAGTTAACAGAGAATTCTACAATTTGAAATCCTAAAAGGATTGAATATGTGAAGCCAGGCTGATGAGATAATCGGGGATGTAATGAACAAGTAATTTGTAGAAGAAACCAGGTCAGATATCCAAACAGCAGATACAGGTAGAGTAACAGCAGAGGATGAAATGCCTAAAGGGCAGACAGATAATGAGCTTTAATATAAGCAAGCACTGTTCCAGGGCAGACCTACACTAGTACACATGTGAAAGGTGGAAACTGATTGTACTTAACAATATTTTATAATATATCTTTAAACTGCCTGTGTGTTACAGTGTAATGTTCATGAAATGCAGATTTTGTACAGATGTGTTCTCAATGTAAATACATTATTTGTGTATAAAGCTTTTTCCCAGGCTATTAATTTAACAAGGTCATATCTTAATACAAAGGGATTCACCCTGATTATGTAAATCCCTGCAGAAGTAAGATCTTTGCTCTCACTGCCACACAAAGCTAAAGTGAGTTTGCACACCAAGGAACGCCTTAGTCTACAATTCACAATTCTCTACAAGCCTTTATGAGATATTATACGAGTGTGCACTGGAGTTTGACACCACTCAACTACTATTTGCTGGCTTGAGCTATTGCTATTTGACCAGTAAGTCATTTCAAATGTTTCTTTAGGCTTGTCAGTCTTTGGTAGTATGACAAAGACTGTATATTCCTAATAGGTCAGTAGATGGCAATAGAGTAGCACTATGGCACATAGCTCAGCACAGATATTTATAGGCATTTCAATCAAACCAGGTCAAAACACTAGAGAGGTCATGAGGGTTAATTTGCCAAAGTTTAGTAAAAAACATAGGTAAAGGTCTGAGTCAAAATATCATAGGAAATCTAAAATACTCCATCAGAGGGGTGAGAAAATCATTAAGATATATATTAAAATCCTTCATGTAAATATATAATACACTTTTTCACCCCTCTGATGAAATATTTTAGCTTTCCTATGATGTTTTGACTCAGACCTTCACCAATGCTTGGGCAGACTGGGGCAGAAGCGTTCCAGGGTTCCCTGCAAGCGTCTTGGAAGCACACTTGGTGGAGGTACCCAGCTGGGGTACAGGGAGCTCCGTCACACCCTGAAATGTAAACATTGCAGTTTCTCTGAAAATGCAATGATTTACATTGCCGGGCTAAGAGGACAGAGACACTCCACCCAGACCACTTCCTTGAGAAACGGCTATAGTGTCCCTTTAACATACACTGCAAAATGTAGACATTCACATATAATGGACATACTGTAGTTAAGACTATTGTATTGTTATTCTCACAATAATTTATTAAAGGGACACTCTAAGCACCAATACAATTTTAACAGACAGCGCTGCATGATCTAAAATAGAAAACAACCTGCATTAGAAATAGAGGAAACCTACTGAAACATATAATAAAGATATCACTACCTGATTATGGTTTCCGTCTGTCATTCAGTGTTATTGGGGCTGAGATTGTATTGATACATTTGATAAGGAAGTATTTCTGTCATGAGGGGGCATGGTTAAAGAGATGGGCATATGGAGCAGCATACTGCAATACATTTATTTTTGTGTGCAAAAGTTGTAAAGATTTGAGCATACACAAAGTACAGGATATTAATAAGACCAAAAGAAGATGCATCTGAAGAAACACAAGACCTATGCAAGTCTCAAATGTCACATTCCAATAAGGTGGTTTTGTTAAAAATAAACAAACAGCAAAAAATATTAACTTATGTTTGCGTTGTAAGTGTTTGTACAATTAAAGCGCTTGTTCTCTTAGTAACCATTAAAGCGTTGAGGCATTGCTTACAATGAAACAAATAATATAAACAAGGATAATTTGTTTTAAAAATAAATATAAATGTCAGGTAAAATAACTAACTCCAGAGAGCTTACCATTCAAAAACATTGCTAGTCCAATAAAAACCGCTATTACAATATATTAAAATCTATTACTTCGCAACTTTGTCATCGATACAGCTTCCCCAGAACTACAATAAACACATGAAAATATACATCTCAACTGCAATAAATCCTCAACATATGATTCTACCATGGTGATACCTGGTAAAACCAGGAAATGACTAGATTATCCCAGCAAATCCTGGTTGGCACAACCTTTTATTAAAAACAAACAAAACTGAATAAGCACTCAGGGAGGTAGAAGAAGCTGAAAGGGTATTCGTTTCTCATCAGGGTGCCTCTCCTACATTTTTTAATAGGAGTAGGTTTGTGTGCGTATCACTGTATACTCTTCCATACAGAACATATAGCAAAGCAAATAGGCAAACAGGCTTTGCAAATACCATGCATAAGGTATAATGCATAAAACAAATATTTATTTATTTATTTGCACTGCGCTCTATCTGTTCAAATCGTGTGGCTCTAGCAGCGGATCTAAGTAATAGATATTCTGGAAGACATCAGGCTTTGAGATGGGTAAATAACTGAGAACTATCTCCTATTGGATTTAAGAAGTTTTTAAATAAGACATCATGGTATGCATCAAATGTAAACGATAATACATGCAACCAACATAACCAACACAAAAACAAAAGTTAAACACAGTTGACCTAAATCTTATTCTGACAATTTTCATTCTATCTCTTAATATGTCAAGTTCATGTACCAGTTTGACTACATAGATGTTTTTTACAAATAGTAAAATCTTCTCAATTACTGACTCTCTTCTGATAACAACTTCTCTGTCATCCAAGAGCTTGTTGTCCTTCTGATCATTAAATCTCTGAACCCATGTGTCACAAGTTAGCCAAAGTTCTATTATGGTTCCTGCAGAAAGTTACAGATGGCACTGAGGAAGTCCTGTGTCTGCTCAGCATGTACCCAGTGGCCCGCATCTTGAATATATTCCACACTGGAAAAAGGGAAGAGTCGTTCTATTTCAGGAAAATTCTCTGAACTGTGAACATAAAAGTAAACTGCTATAAAAATAGAATTCACAAAGACAGTATTAAACAAATTAGTTATTTTAGGAGACAGCACTTTAAGGACAATAATTAAATAAATTATGTATTTTAAGGTGAATTTGCCTTGGTAGGTAAAGAATAACCTCAATTTTAATGGATTATAAATAATGTTAAAATTGAAACTAAAAAGAAATATAAAGATACTTAAATTTATATTGATCCTGTAGACAAAGAGTCTAGGCAGACCCATCCATGCCAGGAAGAGACAATCCAAACAGCCTGATTTCCTTCTATATAGCATCTACCATGTCCAGCAGAGGTATATGGAAGAAGTACTTTATATCCAAGATCTGTTCCACTCATTACATAGGATTAGTGGAACGGTTCTGTAAACTAACAGAAGCCATGTTGTGGTTGGTAGCAGTGCACGCACAGCCTGGTTGATTGGCAGAGTTGAGCTATCTGCAACTCCAATCTTTCTCCAGACAGGGGAGTAAACCCAGGTCAAGTTGTGCATGGGGCACACACAAGTTACACTCAGAGCACGGGAAAAATTTAAATAAGGCAGTAGAAACTTACATAATGCAGCAATTCTTTCAAAATGTAGCTATTTCACTCTCAGAGCTCATGAAGAGTTGTCGCTTTACCAAGGGTAGGAAACCTTTGGAACTTTGCCTAACTCTGCTCATCAACTTTTTTTTTTTAAACATTCTTTATTTTAATTTTCGCATATATTACATATATTGCGTGTAGACATTGGAAATACACAGTTAAAACAGTTCAGTACAGAAAAAAAGGGAATACAGGAGTAATACAGAATGAAGATATCATTAGTAGAGTCATATAACAGGGTAGTTGCATTATGTGTACATCTTACCATAAGCAGTAAGCAGATAATAGAGTTAAATTATGTGAATACGGTCCTAGTAATTAAAGTGTGGTTGCATGACACGCACAGGACCTCCTGTCTCAGGTTAGGGCATATTGAATTTCATTCACGTGGTACTTGTGATATCTGCTCTAGGGTTTCACTTAAGGCTCTTAGCGAACCCACAGTGCCCCGTATTTAGGTGCTCATTCTTTACCCTGAAGGGTAAGGGTTGGTGACCCTTCGGGGTCATGGCAGCTGGGTCGCACATTGCTGGGAATGGAGTGAGGTGTAGTCGAAGAGAATTCAATTCTTTGGGTACTACACGAGTGAGGATGATCCCCGCTTGTCGTTCATAGATGTGGCACGGGGTAGAAACTAGTGGAGTTAAGCATCTCCGGTGTAGGTTGGATAATGGAGGGGGGGTTGGGAGGGAGAAGGGGAAAGTGGCGGAGTAGGGCAGGGGGTTTTAGTTTCGTTGGGGGCGCACAGCCACGCTCCCTCAGTCCCCCAGGCACAACACCATCAACTTTTAAATGACGCAAAGGCTCATTTAATACACATCTTGTATGACCACACAATCTGCATAGCCAACAGGCTATGTCATCCTCTCCTTATTCACTTATGACTGTAGCCCATAACTCCGAAAACAATCAAAAAACAACATTATCAATTCAGGAGGAACATCATTAGTATTGAACACTTTTCTTCCCAATAATCTTAAGCCAATGATTCTCACATACTGGGTATTAGTTGTCCTAACTCACCTAATATACGGAGACTTGGCTCCTCCTAGGAACAGTGTAGGTCCAGGATAGGGCTTGTTGAATTCTGGAAAATCTAGGAGATCATGCAGATGGTGAGATATGGCATCAAGATTCACTCTCCATTTGAAATGTTCATTTTCTTGAACCAGGTTAGTGAGTAGGAACTGGCGAACTGATTCTTCCTATAGATGAAATATACAGGTGTATATAACTTTAAATATTGCGAAATAACCATGAGTGGACACTGTAATTTAGGAGGCATGGTGGACTGGCCTTATCACGAAGGTTTGGGTGAAAACGACAATTTTCCAGCCAGTTGTGTTATTATGAAATTAATCAATGCAGGCTAAGACAAAAGCAGTATATTTACACAAACTAATGTATAAGAAAGTTCTATGATACAGCTTTTTGATAGCAGGCATTAACATACAGTATATAGATTGTGAAAGAGGCTATTTAGATTTAACTTTTCTAAGGTGTTACTATATGTTAATATATAGTTAATACATTGCTAAACACAAATACACACACCAGTCAAGCCATAAGACTTGCTTTTCCCACAGAAATGTCACTTTAACAGTGCTCTCACTATTGCAAGGGTGTCACGGCACAGCCTGAGCCCTGCAAGGTGTGGCTGCCCCTTTAAGAGACCTGGCTGGGTTTGAACTCACAGCTCCAGCATCCCAGTCAGGTTCTCTGCCGTGCTGTACACCAGGGGGCTTCAGTTTCTGTTTGCATTATTCTGCTTCCTGACCCCTTGCCTGGATTAAGCAGTGCTGATCCACCTGCAGCCCTTTTCCAATTAGGGTCAGCTGCATCTAATTAGCAGGCTGTAAAAGCCAGCCCTGTCTGAAACCTAGCATCTGGTCATTTTGCTTGTTTGGTGTTTCCTGACGGATCTTTGATACTCTGCTGACTGATTTCCTGGACTCTGGACTCTGGACTCTGACCTCTGCCTGCTTTACTGACTACGTTACTAAGCTGCCAGTCCTGACTTCTACTTCTCATCTGACCCTGCCTTTGGATTTCCCCTTAATCTGTACTGCGCTTCTGGTTTTTGCCTCCTCCTGTGCCATCTCCTGCAACTGGGCTCCAACTCCTGTTAAACTGTTACATAAGTCGCCAGGTGACTGTTACAAAGGGATTCTGGGTAGGCGTATGCAAATGAGCTAAAAATATATATATTAAAAATAGAATAATCCTTGCACTCACGCTGTAGATAGTGATGCCGGGTGCCAAAAGCCTTAGGGCTGACATAAATAGAATTCCATGGACAAGGCTGCACTCACGAACTTCTTAAAATCCAAACTTCTTTATTAGGTATACATTAAAATTAGGATCAACGTTTCAGTACCCCCCTCGGACTTTCCTCAGGATCAAAAAATAAAAATAAAATATGCATGTAATTTTTTTTCATTGGATTTTAAGAAGTCCGTGAGTGCAGCCTTGTCTATGGAAATATATATATATATATATATATATATATATATATATATAATTTCCACCATCAGCAAAGATAAAATGAAATGACAATTGAACAAATCAACTAGTTTCACAGCATGACCAGTGAAGTCTGAGAGCCACACAGATGAAATAAAATGTTAGCAACTCCAAGGTGGCAAAAAAAAAAAAACAACACCACTTACTAAATTAATTAATAGGTTAAGAAGTTTCCAAGGGTTGACCACTGCAATGTATTGTATGTACCTTCACAGTGGCACTAAGCTGCTCATCCGCTAGTCTTCTGGCGGTAGATCGAGGCACTTTTTCTACCAACTGCAAGCTCTGCATTGCAGCAATGTACTGTGGAAAACCAGACTGTGGGCTAGTTGGAACAGGACTGATGTCCACAGATACCAAACGTTCTACCAGCTGAGGCTGTGGGACGGAGAGAAATTAAGAAAATGGTAAACCCATTTATAATACTGCATGTTGATGATTAGATAGTGTTCAAATAGTGAACAGCACTGTACAGGGATTTACTGGCAGGATTTAATTTATCAAACCTGAAGTAGACAACAAAAGAGACTTCCGTCACCCCTGTAAACGGGGCAAGATTTGTGATTTGGTCCATCATTGTGCACTAGCCAGTAAAACTCAAGAGATGGCCTATAATTGTTTGTCTTTGTGGTACAGTTTCTGCGGAATATAAACCCCTTCCTAGATGATGATTGTTGGCACTGTGGTGGCAGCACAGACAGGTTTCTACACATCTGGTAGGAATGCCCTAAGATTACACTTTTTTTTTTGGCAAGCAATCCATAAAAGTTTGAAGAAGTTCTAAGACTAGCCGCCTCTCCCTTTCGAGCTGCTCACCTCTTACATCACACCACCACACCGACAGCTACGTACAAGAAATCCCTTACTGTTAGAATATTAAATACTGCGAAACAAATTCAACCCCTATGTTTTGGAAAAAAGACAACCCCACCCTTAACAGTGTGATTTGATAAGATGGAGGACTTGCGAATATTGAAGGAACTGACATTTTCAGGTCATAGACATATGGACATATTGGACAACGGTTGTTTACCACGCTGACTTTCAGAGACAGACATAAAGAAAACACACATTAAAGCATCCTATTGATAATTTATGGGGACAGTGTTGAATGAGAATCATTAATGGTGATTACAGAGCACTTATTAGCAGCCATTCATAAATATTTTATATTTGTTTCTTCTACTACCATGATACTTTTGCTTCTGTATCTATGACTTTGGCTGATATAAGTTTAAAGAACAGTTCTAATCATCCCATGGCATGGATAAAACCGCTTTTTTGGGATAAACTTCTTATCCCACAAATCTATGATGGACAGGGGATTGTAATGTCAGTCCCTGCAGACCAGATTGAGATGTTACTGAATGGAGCTTCTCATCCTGGTGTGGGAGGGATGTGCCCACAGGCCCACTGTAGTTACTGACAGACCTACTAAGCAGTGCACTGAGAGACACTTTGCACGGTAAATTTTATTTTCCAGTTTTGCTGTTTTCAGAGACCAAGGCTTTAAAGGGAAATCAAAGCTTCAATGAAAACGGCATTGTTCCTGTCAAAGTTAAGTAATAACTTGACTTTATTGTTGTTAAAGTCCCCTTAATAATATTTTAAGCTCTGTGGAATCTGTTAGCCTTATTATTATTATTATTATTAATATAATTATTATTTTTGGCACTATGTTCTAACTCTAATGTTTTCGCATAAACATAATCCTGACCGAGTATCTGATAAAAAAAAAGATTTAAAAAATGTCTAAAATAAGCACCCACACACATCACTTCTGGATCCCAAAACATCTGCAATCCAAATCAAACAATGACATTCCCACCATACACAAACCCCAAGTTCTATGCCAGGCTTCCCCAAACTCCAGCCCTCCAGATGTTGCTGTACTACAACTCCCATGATTCTCAGCCAATCTATTTCATTCATAGACTCATGGGAGTTGTAGTTCAGCAACATCTGGAGGGCCGGAGTTTGGGGAAGCCTCTTCTATGCCACAGTGGACTTACAACCAAACTCAATCTGCCACCATCTGCTCACTTAATTCTTATAGTATGCTTATACTATTAGTTCAGCAGATCTTCATATTGGGTGAGTATAAACATGTATTGTTTTTATTTTTCCCATTGACTATAAAAAAATCCTCTAACTCTGAGCTCGCAAGGTGGGACTCGGAGTTAAAGGACCACTATAGTGCCAGGAAAACAAACTTGTTTTCCTAGCTCTATAAGGACTTTGGGTCTCCCCCACCCTCTGGGTCCCCCTCCCGCCTGGCTGAAGGGGGATGAAGGGGTTAAATACTCACCTTTCTCCAGCGCTGGGCTCCCTCGGCGCTGGGGACTCTCCTCCCTCTTCCAACGCCATTCAGTCAATTTCATTTCTCAACGCTTTCCTATGGACGCTGGCGTCTTCTCACTGTGAAAATCAAAGTGAGAAGCGCGAAAGTACCTCTAGCGGCTGTCAATGAGACTGCCACTGGAGGCTGGAATAACCCTAGTGTAAACATAGCAGTTTTTAGACATTTCAAACTCAAAAAAAGCATCTTTTAGCTTGTTGCACGCATTGTTTACTATCCTTTTAAAAGACAAGCACTGTACCGTAACTATATTTTGGATATGGCATCCTTCAGGAGAGCTCCTTTAATTGTACTACTCAGTACTCTGTACTACTTACTTCTTGCAGTGCCAGGGTCATGGCAGTCTTACCCCCCATGCTATGCCCAATAAGCACACAGGAGGGAATATGAAGATGTTCCAAGATGTGCTTCACATCAGCACTCATCGCAGGGTAAGTGATAATATTAGTATGTGGACTGTTACCATGGTTACGAGCATCAAGCGTCAACACCTGTGTAATAAAAAAGCAAAAAACAAAACAAAAGCTCAGTACGGAGATTAGAAAAATAAAATCTCACTAAAATACCAAAGTACACAACTTAAACATGTGTGATATTCCTACTGTACTGTTTGCCAAACCTGTGATTGACATGGTAAGGACATAACATTTCAAGTGGTCGAGCAGGAGAATTTTTCACTTTGGTGATGCCACACCACTATTCTGTCCATGCCACATGGCTGTGCAAAAGGAGACAATTGTTTCGAACACAAGTTATGGCAGGTGTAAGGATTTTCGCAACTATGGACTTGTTCCCATGCTTGTCATTGAGAAAGTAGCTGTTATGCACTGTATATAACAAAATCCAGTAGATGTTTGTGCAAAAAATACCAACAGGCATCCATGTTCCTGTGATTTTATATCAGCAAGCTACCTACATTCTCCTCTGATAGGGACCACCATTTTGTATCATTGCAAACTGGGCTCACATCAAAAAAGGGTAGATTTTACAAATAATTGCCATAACAACTCTATAAAAAGTTCACTAGATGTGGCAAATGTCATTTTTACAGTCTCACATAGGAACAAGGTGCTACTTTGTGCTCAGGATCTCGTACTAACTTCTAAAAACTTTAAAACTTTTACCAGCTGCTGATTGCCAGTTGTTGAATGATTTGTAGCCAGTAAACAGATGTCACTTGCCAACAATAGTGGCAACTATTTTAGTGATTAATGAGGTTAAATTATGTCAACAAGCCATAATATGAGCCATGATTTAAATGTTAGGGACAATTCTACTGATGCATTGAGCTAAATCACTTCTGATTTCCAAATTTTACCAACATGACTCTTCAAATTTTGTACCTTCCTTGAGAATCTCTTACTATAACTCCCCCATGAGAAACACGTTTTTTTTTTATGATTGTCCTTTAAACAATACCCATTTGCCAGTCAGTGTGATCCTCACCTTTCTACCTGTCTTGCGCACCAAGGCCCGAGCAATAGATTGGAAGTTTGACTTGCTTCCAAACAGCCCATGCAGTAACACTAGAGGAGTTTCTTCTGATGCAGTTCCTTCAAACATGTCATACGACAAAGTCACCACCCTGAAGAACAAAGCATTTGTGGCAATTAAAAGTTAGGATGATTATTAGTCACTCAATCCATACCTATCACCATGGATTTGGGGTTATGTTATTACCTTGTATCCCCTTTAGAAGCACAAAGTAATGTCTCAGTCAGTGAAGCATAAGCTGCGCTCTCACGCTAAGCAGAGTAACCTTACGGCAGTCATTCCATGCTCATAGATCTTCAGCTAAATGGATTGAGTGGAGTTGAACAGACTACCATGCCCCCATTGTGGGTGGATCCATGCAATCTATGGGTGGGCTGTGCAATGTCACTAACTGTCCACTTCTGACCCATTGTTGGGAACTATGTATCACGGGACTAGGATTTAAACATGTTACTTTAGGAGTCAAGAATGTCTAAGGGAAAGAGAAAGTCTTTCATCTAATTTTAGCAAACTAAAAACCAATGTACAAATTTAGGCTGCAATGGCCCAGCTATGACAATAGCTGAGTTGAAGTATTTTCAAGATCTGCATATTTTCCCTAAACTATTCAATTCCGTTTTCAGGTCATTACAATTCCCTGCTTAGTGAATGAACTGGATGTTGACAAATTACTGTCTGTTTAGGGCAAGGCTCAACATACTTTTTTTAAGCGGTTGCTGGGACAGTTGTCTTCAAAGACTAGACTTTGGGGACATTTCAGGTTGCCTATTGATAATCATTTTGTAGTACAAATGCGTTAGATCACACACTTAAGTATATTCCAAATATTTACTATTACATATGATCTAATAGACGGTACCAATTTCAGGTTCAATTTCCATCATGATTTTCTACCCTGATGCCCTGTATCCCTGGGACAGGAGGAAACTATCCTGAGGAAAAACATTGTGAGCACATCATTAGGACTCTGACCAAGTAGAGTGCTTCAGCAGCATTCCCTGCTTAGTATCTGCTGAGTGGAGCGGGAGGGAGGCTGTCACTCAGCGTGGCATCACAAACTTTTTTGGACAGCTTGACCCCTTTCGGGAACAAGATCACCCAATTTGAGCAGTGTCAGACATGCAAGTGGCATCACTGCCATACCCCTACAATTCACAACACTCCTGTCCTATTTCATACCTCCCAATGTTAGGATTTATAGTATATAACTTTTGTTGTTTTGTGTTTTGTTTTTGTAAACACACAAAAAAAAAAACAACAGTTCTTTTTTACTGACAGATCTATAGGGTTCATTGATTTAAATATGCACACACAAAACATTTTCAGGTTTATTCAATGTGCAAATTGTCTGCAATTCAAAATCGGCTACGCGTGCCACCCAAATGTTGAAAGTAAGGAGAGGGGGCTCTGTGAAGGCGCACACCTGCTCAGAAGGGTAGCAGGCAATCTGCTAAGGGAGTATGCCAGCACTGGGTACATTTAAAACACACTTTGTTTTTGCTGGGAATACAAAGTTCAGAGAATAACTTTGCCTGAGCTACTAGAGTGTGCAGTGATTTGGATCCCTATGAGGGACTGTCCATTGTAAACAGGGTCACTTGGTAGGTATTTCATGGCCTCCATGACAGTTACTGAAATGCAGCATGGAAACAGAACCGTGACGTCACAGCAGGCGGTGCGATGATCACGTGACACGATCGGGTCCCGCCCTCGGGGGGCGTGGCTATCCGCGTCAGTCCCGGCTCGGTGTCGTCATCGCGCACTTACCCTCCGTGGGTTTCTCGCTGCGTGACCTGCGGCCCGGGCGCTTTGCTGCTCCGCCATCTCCACAGCAGGAGCCGCGAGAGGAGCCGGCCGTGGCGCGCGCAGCTAGGGAGCGGGACTGGGGGCATTTCCACACAGCGGCGCTGCTCAGCGTCTGTGCCGGCTCCCTGGTGTACGTCAGACGCGTGATTGCGTCAGAGGCGACGTTACGTCACGGCGCGAGACTGCTGGCAACCAGCAGCTGCAAACTGTGCGGGATCGTTCGGTTACACCTGGTCACAGATGGGCTTGTCGTGATTTTAGTCAGCATAGTAATGGCGGACAATTGCGGTTCGCTGAGTTAGTATGAAGCTGGTGTATATTGTGTGTCATTGGTCTCTGCCCATATCAAAGATGGCGGCGGCGGCACTCTCTCCTTATGGGCATAGAGTTCTAATTGCGCGAGTCTACTGCGCGGTCTTATAAAGGGCTTCTCACTGTGATTGCTTCTCGATAGTCAGGCAAATGGCCGCTTCCCAGGAACTCCTGAATTGTCTGCCAACCTGTGTAAACTGCTCTATTATTTCAGAGCCACCAGCCTGTTTATTAACCCCTTACAGAGACAATTAGCCAAGTTCTGAACTAATACAAAACCCGGAATTTGAGCTATATGTCTGTCCAACTAGAATGTACCACTTTAATGCCTAAAGGGACACTATAGTCACCAGAACAACTACAGCTTATTGAATTTGTTATGGTGAGTAGAATCATTACCTTCAGGCTTTTTGCTGTAAACTCTGTATTTTCAGAGAAAATGCAGTGTTTACATTACAGCCTAGTGATAACTTCACTGGCCACTCTTCAGATAGCTGTTAGAGATCGTTCCTGTGTCATGGCTGCCTAAAATGCATCCAAACATTCAGTGTCTCCTCCCAGAAAGGGGCAGAGCCAGGAGCTGCACACATGAATACAAGTAAGATTTTACTATATTTAGGGAGGCCAGGCTAGATGGTGGTTTTAACATTATATGGTCAGGGATACGTTTGTGTTCCTGACCCTATAGTGCTTCTTAAAATTAAATCGGGACCAAATTCAATATTTGTACATTATCAGTCACTTTTTGCAAGTGAATAATTTTTTTTTCTCAATGTATCAATTTTTATAGAAAGTGTTTGAAAAGGCACATATTATACAAATTTATCAAATACATAGTTTGGGAACATCGCAAATGGTCCAAAACACTTGTAACACTTGTGCCTAAATGCACTGCAATGTCTGAATAAGATCTGCAGGGTAAAAGTATATTTTATAATTTTTTTCAATTTTACTCAAAGCAAATAACGTATTTTATTATTAACAGTCATTATTAAAATACACTTTTACCTTAACTTGTTTAATTTATGGCTACCCCCCACACACCCAAAGATTAACTAGATAAGCATCACAACTTTAAATCTACTGACTTCACGTTATAAGTGTAAAAAGAAACAGGCGTCCAAATGTTTAAATCCCCACCAGGAAGCGGGATGAGCTGTACATGTGTTCCATGGAGGCTAACGTTGTGGCACTATAATCGTTTCATGGAAGGAGGACTGCATTATCTATGGGCCCATCCTGTAACATGTCTGGCCGAGCGTCCCAGCAAGTCTAAGGCACACATGTGTGGCTCAGCATTAGGGACTAGCAGTTTACAATAGAGGACAAGCCATAGGTGGTCTCACTATCTCCCCGCTGTGAGCTGCACTTGGCGCTGACATTGTTTTATGTAATCAGGGGATACAGCCAGTTACCGGGAATAAATCCTACTTCTGGCCAGCCTCTGTAATGACTGTAGGTATTTAGTGTGAGAGTAATTACCATGCTCCAGGGATAACAATACCCAGCACACAGTTAGTGCCCCTTGCCCTGCACGGCAAATTACAATTTGCCGCAGTCCATGGTGTTAGCAAGTAGACCCCTCCTAGCTAACTACATAATGGCAGTGTCCGGTTTTGGGAGATGGTATGCTAACAGAGATGCTCCAAATTTTTTTTTTTTATTGTTTTTAGTACATTTGTACGGCGCACCATAATAGCAATGCAAAAAACAAATATGCTAAAATACACCTCAACGAAATCGCAAATAATAAAATACGGTAAAATACACTTTTACCATCTGTGGGAAGGGAAGGGGTATGCTAAAGTTTCTCCCTACCCTCACCCACGGTTTGTGGATTGGTGCAATAAATTAATAATGGGGACATCCACTATCCAAACACCCAGTCGAGTGGAGTCTATTCATTTATAATGGGAAGGGGACATTCCACTGTCCCTACCAGTGGGTGGCTGGTGGGTGCTTTTTAATAATTAAGGACGTTAGACATGCTATCGCAGGGCTTAGCTCAGCAGAGCTAATGGAATCTCCTAAGCAAGTGCTTCCTGTGCTCTGCAGCAGTGGTGGTGAGGATCGGTGTTCCGTAGCATGCTCTAGTGCAGGGATAGGCAACTTTTGGCACTCCAGATGTTGTGAACTACATCCCCCATAGTGCTCTTACACCCATAATGCTGTCAAAACATCTGGAGTGCTGAATGTTGCCTGTGCTTGCTCTAGTGGTTATATTGCTTTAAGTGTTCTTTTAAATACTGGCAGAACACTTGTAATGGTATTTGGAATAAATACCATTGATTACCTTTGCTAACACTCAATTATTGCAAGACTGTTTACAAATAGGTACTATGAGCTGCAACCCATCATCCTTTGAAAACTGTTGTACCTGCAGCCTTTGTTGGTACGCCACCCAAACATTCCCCCTGGAGATAATATGATAATGGATAATATGGAGTTTATTGTCCATGGCACCTTGAATACAGGTGTACCCCTAACTCATGTAGATCGCCCGCTAATCCCAAACATGTTGAACGATGCTACTACATTGTTGCATCATTCCAAAAGCAGCACTGTTATGACTGCTTCATTTGAAGGCAAAATATATTAACTACACCAGTTTCTTTGTAAATTACAGCAGCTAAAATTAACTTAATTTAGGGAGCCGGGGACACATAAGCTCCTTGCGGCAAAACACATATCAGGGTTTTTTTTTTTTAAATTCACTTTAATCCTCAAATGCTGGGCTTTAGTGTATAGCTAATTTGTTGCCAATCTGGTCATGTAATGATGTAGACACAAGGGGGTGCTGTTGTCTTTAATACGCGATATCTCATTTTAAATGGTCCACATGCAGGGATTTCATATTTCTCCACATCCTCTTAATTTTTTTTTTATTGTTAGGATTATAGGTTATTCAGGAACCTAAATTTAAAGTAAATTTTAAATAAAATGCTGATCTAGACAAAATGATAATGGAAACATTTTTCCAGGTTGATTATTGTGGCCTTGAAATTTATATTCAATTCCTGACAATTCAAACTTAAGTGAAAAAAGCCTTAAAATGTTTAACTCCCTCTTACCGTTTTGAACCACTATCAGTTTTCCATTCCCTATTGAACTCTTGTCACAAATGCAAGCAACACTCAGCTTCCATTTAAAGGACCACTCTAGGCACCTAGACCACTTCAGCTTAATGAAGTGGTCTGGGTGCCAGGTCCTTCTAGGGTTAACCCATTTTTTAATAAACATAGCAGTAAATGCTTTCCTATGCGACTGGTTGAATGCGCACGCAGCGCTTGCCGCGCGTGCGCATTCAGCCCAGGAGGAGAGAAGGAGGAGAGCTCCCCGCCTAGCGCTGGAAAAAGGTAAGTTTAAACCCCTTTCCCCCTTCCAGAGCCGGGCGTGAGGGGGACCCTGAGGGTGGGGGCACCCTCAGGGCACTATAGTGCCAGGAAAACGAGTATGTTTTCCTGGCACTATAGTGGTCCTTTAATTCCATAACTGGTCTTTGTCATAGTCAATTAAAGGAGCACTCCTTGTACCCACACTTGCTACAAGTAAAGTGTAAGTTAAAGGGTTATTCCAAGCACTATTACTAAATCAGTGTTTTGAAGTGGTCATGGTGCCTGGAGTCTATTTTGCTATGAAGCACTGCACATGCAGAGTTAAACCCCATTGCTGCTGGAGGTATAACTTCCCTGTCGGCAGCTTCACTTTTTAAAAATGATTTATATATATAAAAATATTTCTTGTATTTGTCACCATTTACTTTGTCTGTCAATTATTCGTTGCTAAATTCCCGCTATATAATTGTAAAGCTCTGCCGAATGCTGTATAAATGCTATTAAAAGTGATAATATATGATCTCATGGCTGAGGTTTCTGTTCGCTGTAGTTAGCCTCTTCCCAGTAAAATAAAGTACAGTAAAAAGCTTTTGTTTGATCTGCAACTCCAAGAAACTCTTGCTGTGCACATAAAGCACTGTGTAAGAGTTGAGCTTAGAAGTGCTGTAGAAAGTAAGTGATCATCACAATTGGCTGAATGATTTCCTGGTCTGTGCAAAGCTCACTGCTAGGGCTGCAAAGCCTGTACTGGTTTCTCACAATTTGTATTACCTATATATTGCATTTAAAAAAAAAAAAAAGGTCAGCCTCCTGTGTCCTTTTACCAAATAATTATGGTAGGGGCCGTAATGATTAAATATTTTGAAAGTTATTCTAATTTCTTATATTATGAATATACAGAATTTGATTAGACTGAGGCGTTTCTTATCCATTACACTGTGCTAGACTAAATCATTAAAAAATATATATCCTCTCCACGTCATTAAGGTTTCATGGCTGACGTTTGGCAACTCGAACCTTCAGCTCCCTCCACAGATTTTTTTTTCTTTATGGGCTTAAGGTCTGGAGACTGGCTAGGTCACTCCAGGATCTTAATGTGCTTCTTCTTGAGCCACTCCTTTGTTGCCTTGGCTGTGTGTTTTGGGTCATTGTCATGCTGGAATACCCATCCACGACCCATTTTCAATGCCCTGGCTGAGGGAAGGAAGATCTCATCCAAGATTTGACGGTACATGGCCCCGTCCATCGTCCCTTTTGATGCGGTGTAGTTGTCCTGTCCCCTTAGCAGAAAAAAACCCGAAAGCAAGTTTCCACCTCCATGTTTGATGGTGTTCTTGAGGTCATAGGCAGCATTCCTCCCCCTCCAAACACGGCGAGCTGAGTTGATGCCAAAGAGCTTGATTTTAGTCTCATCTGACTACAACACTTTCACCCAGTTCTCCTCTGAATCAGTCAGATGGTCATTGGCAAACTTCAGATGGGCCTGTACATGTGCTTTCTTGAGCAGGGGGACCTTGCAGGCGCTGCAGGATTTCCATCCTTCACAGCGTAGAACCTCCCGTGTAGTTCTGGGCTGATTCCTCACCGTTCTCATGATCACTGAAACTCCACAAAGTGAGATCTTGCATGGAGCGCCAGACCAAAGGAGACTGATAGTTATTTTGTGTTTCTTCCATTTGCAAATCATCACACCAGCTGTTGTCACCTTCTCACCAAGCTGCATGGCAATGGTCTTGTAGCCCATTCCAGCCTCGTGTAGGTCTACAACCTTATTCCTGACATCCGTGGATCAAATACTTTTCCCCTCACTGTATATAATTACTAAACAGCATATTGACAAATGTCTTGAGAAACTGAATGCCAAATAGTGACTCAAATTTTGCAGTTTGTCAACACATGTTAAGCACCAAAACTTACTATAGAAAATAATCAAAGTTTAAGAGTTTTTTTTTTTTGTAAATAAACTTGTGATTTCTTAATCATCGTGAGTGTTTCCGGCACAAATAGTGAAAGTATGACTAAATAGTGGAAATAGTATATGTAGGTGATGGAAGTGCACTCAATCCTTCGTCTGGAATTCAGGGTGCTCTAGTGGACAAGTCCCAGTACCAAAAAAGGACCAATTGAAGCATTTAAATATAAAGAATAATCCAGGCACTCCAGCATATTTAAAATATAGGCAATTTTTCTTGGAACAAGGAACCAAAAGGCAACGTTTCGACCCCTTAGGGCCTTGTCAAGCTAATGAAGCACATACCACACACACAATATATAGGTGTATGTAACATTTCATAAGTGAAAAAACGTGAATTAATTACAATTAATTAACAATATAATTATTACATTGATAAAAACATAATTATCTCTCCAATCACAATCTCAAATGTTTAGGATGTCAGGAAAAGCAGAACAATGCAGCCAATAGAATAACAATTCATTACCAATATAATTAAATTACTCAATTATGGACAGATCGTTTTGAATTACCTTTAATAAAGTCAAGAGATCATCATACAGCCGAATTGAAAAGTTCCCACTTCCGGGTATGGTCACAAGGGTACGTCCATGTGACCGCATCTGGTAACTAGGATACACCCGACGCCGCTTGTCACATGATCTAATGCACAAACGTACTGAGCACTTCGTTGATAAGTATATAATTTTTACCTCAACTTTGTAAGTACCCCATTATTTAGATTTAGATATGAATGAAAGGTGTATTTAAATGCTTAATATTATTTGTAAGTGGTGCCCTTTATTATAGCGCTATGTTGCACATGCGCACTGCTGTTGCGCCTCTGCTCTTTACTTTTTTGTTTTCTGTGTTTAGTTTTGCGCATGTGCCATATTTTGATAGCAGTGTGTGTTATCTGTATTGGCCGCGCATGCTCAGTACGTTTGTGCATTAGATCTGTCAAAACGATCTGTCCCCAATTGAGTAATTTAATTATATTGGTAATGAATTGATATTCTATTGGCTGCATTGTTCTGCTTTTCCTGACATCCTAAACATTTGAGATTGTGATTGGAGAGGTAATTATATTGTTAATTGTAATTAATTCACGTTTTTTCACTTATAAAAATGTTACATACACCTATATATTGTGTGTGTGGTATGTGCTTAATTAGCTTGACAAAGGCCCTAAGGGGTCGAAACGTTGCCTTTTGGTTCCTTGTTCCAAGAAAAATTGCCTATATTTTGGAATATGCTGGAGTGCCTGGATTATTCTTTATATTTAAATAGTGGAAATGTGACAATCATCAAGATGAGCTCATTATGACTTGTTTACAGATGTAATCTGAATTCAAACTCCATAAAGATCTTCTTGACTGAAGACTTTGAATAAGTTACATCAATAAAATAATTGTGCAATTTTATGTAGTGCTATTGTTTATAATCCATTATTGGATAATTCTTAGAGTGAGACCAGCACGTATTACTGGTTCTAGAAACAAAAGGCTTCATCTTTGTTTACGGAGTACGGAAAAACTTTTTACTGCTCACACAGCATTCCTTATCATGCAGAAAGTCAGTGACTGAAATATTAGCATTGTAGCAGAAGTAATTCATGTGACAATATTAGATTAATAATAGCTAAATTCCCCACTTTTGGGGGGTACTCATATCTAACTATCTGTTTGTGGATCAAAACCACTTCCCAAAGCCATGTAGTGTCCGCATCAGTCTTCTCTTTTCTCCTTTTGCGTCCACTTTGTGTGCTAAAATGCAGTCCTGTAGTTTGAGAGAGAAGGACTCTTGTAAAGAGAGTGAGAATTTATAACTTTCCTGTGCTCTGTAGAAGGCCAGGCTGGGAAAGAGAGAAAGAATTAAAAACGGGTATACACTGCTAATCACAAATAAATCTCAGATATACAGTGCCACACATACACAAACACACACTGCCACACATTCAGAGCACACTGTCGCACAGATTTAGACTGCTGCACACACTCATACACAATGACACAAGCACACATGTCCATATTTGTAGCCACCCTCCTGTTTGTATGCCTTTTGTGTGAAGGAGTAGGCGTTTTCCTGGATCCTAGTAGAAGTGGGCTGTTTCAGGCTGTTGTCTCCTGTCTAACTTGAGATCTAGTGGGGAGCTTACTCTACAAGTTTGTTTGCTCCCATCATGTTTGTGTGTTTCTGTTTGCTCTGGGAGCAAGTGATTTAAATGACTTCCTCCCAACTCGGGGCTGATGCTCAAGGGAGTAGTTGGCCGACCTGCTTGGTTCAGATATTTTAATCGCCACAATCAGACCACTTAGCAATAAAAAGGACACCATACCGGCAACAGTGCTTGACCAGGCCCCTGTACACATTATGGCCTTCCATACCCTGCCAGGGCCTTGATTAGAATGTCATTGGTTAATTGTATTTCCTGTGCATATACTAGGTTCAGGGGTAAGGTGTGAAAAATGTATTTCCATAAATTCACTTAGTTTGGTGTGACTTATATTAACTTCAGGAGTTGTAGTCCAGATAGAAGTTCACCTTCGACTTCCAGTTTGACAAAAGTCATTCTTCTGCTTCCTTAAATGACCTCGTGGCCCTGCATTGTAATGTCACCAGATATATTGCTCTAAAGAGAGAAACACTGTGCATTTTATTGCGGTGAGGCTCTATGATACACTCTATATACTTTATCATTCTGAGATTCTACAATTGCCCATTATTTTAATCTTAAAGTTTTACAATTTTGAGATATAAAGTAGTTGATTACTATGCTAATGTTTTTTTGTTCTCATTACACAATGGAATGGAAAAGGGTTATGTAACCTTTCAAAAGACGTGTCATAACATTTTCCACTAAAATTTGTTATTTTGAATTTTGCTTCTTTTGTCACTTTTATTTGACTTCTTTGAAATCCCTTTGAGGTTTGAAAGATGATTACTCTAGTCCAGCCATGTCAAACTCGCGGCCCACAACTAATATTTATGCGGCCTGTGGGCCGCAGCGGGGTAGCGCTGAGTGTAAGCTGTCCCTGCTCAGCCCCCCGCAGTGATGCCGGGAGCTGGAATATGACGTCAGTCCGGCTCCCGACATCATTGCGGCGTGCGAGGGAGCTGAGCAGGGAGAGCTTACACTCAGCACTCCCTCACTGCCTGTCTGCCCCCATACCTGCCTGCCCACTAGACCCCAGGTAAGAAACCAACCCAGTCTGCATGTATGGCTGTGTGTGTGTGGCTGTCTGTGTGTATAGGTGTATGGCTGTCTGTGTGTATAGGTGTATGCCTGTGTATGTGTATGGCTGTCTGTGTGTATAGGTGTGTGTTTGTGTGCATGGCTGTCTGCGTGTCTGGCTGACTGTGTGTATGGCGGTCTGTTTGCATGGCTGTGTGTGTCTGTCTGTATGTGTGTCGGAGTGATTCTGTGTGTCTGTCAGTGTGTGTGTGTGTGTGAGGGTTTCAAGGAGTAACGGGAGGATCCGCTTTTTCAAGGTGCGGATGGGGCCATTGGGGGTATGCCAGAGGTCGGACTCCGGTCACTGCTTGCTGGCTGGCTTTTATTTATTTATTTATTTATTTTTTAAAACCAGGTCAGGGGTCTGGGATATAGAAGACGAGGGGGGAGGGGCTAGGATTTAGTAGATGAGGGCGGGGCTAGGATTTAGTACATGGGGGGGCTGGGATTTAGTAGACTGGGGGGGCTGGAGTTTAGTAAAGGGGGTGAAAATTTACGGGGTTTTTTTGCGGCCCACATAAACCTAAACCTTGTTTATTGAGCCCTTGCTAGCCTTTGAGTTTGACATGCTTGCTCTAGTCAAAAGGTTAATGCAATTAAAAGATAAAAGTACGTGAGATCCAGGTATAAATATAAATTGAGATTTTCAAGTTGTCACGCTGGTTTCATAATCTGACACATCCTCAGCTGGTTGCTTCGCAGTCAGCAGAATGTAGACTATGAATAAGCACATAATGAATCATTTGGAAACAATCCATTTCACCTCCTGCACAGGGTTAATTTTTAGTTTCTCCGAAACACAAAGGTATTGGAAGTTTCCCCGTGACATCATGCCTTGCAAAGCAAATGATGAGGTTTTCTAAACAAAAGACTGTTCTAATAGAAAGCCCAGAGTCATTCACTGCTAATGAATACAACTGATGTGCTGTCATGAAAAACACCATTTTGAACGTTAGTCATTATCTGGTCCCTGTAATGTATTCATTAAAGGGTTAATATTAAAATGATCGAACGTATGCAAAACACACTGCTTTCCTTTGAATCTAACCCTGTTGCTGGTGTCATATTTACAGAGTGGCCTCGTTACACGATTTACCTGCATCATTATACATTTACTTGAGATTCTTTGTGCTATAGAGAGCAGACAGCACTGCATATTTCAAAGGAACAGGCCCAGCCTGTTGTATTTGGCTCTGTTAATTTTTCATCCAGTGACGTGCATTAATAGGATACATTTAAAATAAACATGGCCATCACAGAGCTTTCTTGTGTTCACTAACAAGAAAATACCTTGGAGACACTTGTAACTAAGGATATTGTTTCAAGACAGTATGATGGGCGTAAACCAAATTAGTAACACAATTATCAAACTCATTATGTTTCATATATTTTATCCATATAACATTTAGTTTCAATAATGAATTGATTGTTGTTTTAACAATTATTAGCCTTTGTAATGACAATTTACTCAATGATTGGGAAAAACAGCATTTTGCTAGTATCAGAGCTTTCTTGTGTAAAATAATATAGGTCTCTCTGATAGTTCATGTAGAAAGCTTCCAATAGTTCTTATTTTGGATTCAAATCCCCCTGTCCCTATTTCCTATCCTAATGTCCCTCTTTTCTCCACACCTCTCTAAGATCTCCATATTGTTGGTGTGTCTGATTATATCACAGAGTTCCACAGCAATAATACTCACAGTAATGTGTCTTTAAACTACAATAAAAGTGTTTAGAAATCTGTTTGTGTAAATATTATTAAGATATATTCTTGTTATAAATGACATAAATTGTTCCATAAATTGTTATTACTAAGTCATCAATAATTTCTCAGAACAGCCTGTCCACGACCACACCCCCACTCACACCTTTAACTTAAAAGTGTCCCTATTTGAAATGTCGAGAAGTATGAGAAAGTTAAAGTTAATGCACAACACTTTTCAAAACCTCTTAACTCCCAAACCAGTTCTGAAATTAACAAGCAAATTATATTTTGTACACTCTGGCTTCACAATTGTACAGCGCTATGGAATTTGCTGGCGCTATATAAATAATATAATAATAATAATAATAATATTAAGCTACCAATAGGAAAAATTAACAAAACTAATTACATATTAATTCCAAAAAAAAAATGGGAGAAATTTTTTAAATATTACATATTTCAGGGAAACTGTATTCTCAGAATCCAAGACATAATTATCAAACTTGGCACAAATGTGACGTAATTTAGTTTTTAATACATTTATGAATAACTATATTTTTTTGCAATTTCAATTTTATTTTTAGCAGGTAGCATATTGCAATAAAGGACATTTACATGTTTGAAGCAAGTTTCTGATTGTATAGCAATATTATATTTAGTAAAAAATCAAATTACAATTTTCAGTCAAATTCAGATTTAATTCTGTCATTCTGCTATGCATTTAAAAAACAAAACAAAAACAAACAAACAAAAAAAAATTCTATTTTCCCAAGATGCAGTTTGAAGTAATTAAACATTAAAGGGACACTATAGTCACTATAGTGCCAGGTCCCTCAGATTTTAACCCTTCAGATGCAAACATAACAGTTTCAGAGAAACTGCTATGTTTACATTTGGCGTTAATCCAGCCTCCAGGGGTTAATTCGCATCCATCGCGCTGAGCATCCATAGGAAAGCATTGAGAAATGCTTTCCTATGGACACTTTGAATGCGCATTTGGCTCCGCTGATGTCGGCGGAGGAGGAGAGATCACCAGCACCGAGAGAGCCCGGCGCTGGTATAAGGTAAGCTGCTGAAGGGGTTTTAACCACGGGAGGGGACCCTGAGGGTGGGGGCACCCTCAGGGCACTATAGTGTCAGGAAAACCGCTTTGTTTTCCTGACACTATAGTGATCCTTTAAACATTGTGTTGTGGTGATCTGACAAATTACTTGCAAAATATTAAATTTAAAAAAAATTAATTAAAAATAAAATGAATCATTTCAACCAAGAATTAATATTTTCAACCAGGAATGTTATACTTAGCTTCATGCTGTTATTGTAAATAAATGATATGTATTGTATTGACCTCAGAAAGAGACAAAGCCACGTTGACCCTGCCAAAAATCAAACCTGCATTTCAACACGTACTATAAATACTGCATTTGGCGCAGTGAACTATCTCACACTATGCTTTTTTTCTCCACCGTCTATATGAGGAAGTAATACACCTTGGATTATGAAATGATACATTAATACTTAAGGGAGTGAGGGTGAATTTAAATTGTCATGTACTAATTAAGGAATTACCAAGTAGTCATTCTTATAAAGTGTTTATATATATCCTGTGTGTACCAAAGGTTGGTTACGTTTTTACAATGTATCTAGAACACTTGTAACTTGTCTTGTAGATGTTGTTGATGCAGACAGGAGTAAGAGGTTAACTTTTGGTGTTTATTCCGGCTCCCCTCCTGCACCTGTTGCAGTATCGGTCACGTGAGATGACAGTTTCACCTGGCTATGGAGACATGATTCTAATCCGGAGGGAGCCTTGAAAGGAGGAGCGAGGGAATGGGGGGAAGGGGGGACTGGTCACACAGCAACAACGACTTTGCAATTACACAAACACAGGGAATGGCAGCAGACAAAAGAAATACAAAGGCTACTTCAGTTTAAAAGATGCAATCAGGAAATGGCCTCGGGAGCCAAATTCTTGGATTATTGAGTGACATTAGGGAATATATCTGGCGACAAAACAGAATTTAATTTAGTTAATCCCACTATAGGTTCTCGTTACTGTACTTCCTCAGTAAGATATATGTATACATAAAACAAATGAAATATCCTTTGCTAAAACGTTTGTAGTTTTTATTTTAACCACTCCTGTGCTAGAAGGATTAGTAAAGCATCGCAATGTTATGTAGTAAGTCTCTGACTGGAAGGGGTTAAGTGGATACATTTGTGTTCTGAAAAATAGTGCAAAGTACGGGAAGGGTGGAATCAACAAAGTAATAGATGGAACCATCAGGTACATTCCATTGGTGACTCCTCCCATTTTGCATTTTTGAAGCAGTTTTCAGAACATGACACTTTGATAAACCTCCCCCCCGATCTGAAATAGCACAAGCTGCAAATGAAGTTTTCGAGATAAAAAGCATTCACTGATATTTATGTACTTCCTAGATTGTAAGCTCATTTGAGCAGGGCCTTTTCACCACTTATCCCTGTTAATATTTTCTATGTCAATGAAATGTTCCCGAATATCCTTATTCTATAATCCTAATGCGCTGTGTAATATGTTGGCGCTATTTGAATGCTAATAATTTAAAACATTATATTTGAGTTGCCTTCTCAGTTCAGTTATGCATTTTGCACAATAATAACAATGTAAAATCTATTCACAGGCTCATGTAGAACATTTTCAAGTATGCATATTGTGAGAATTTTGGTTCCCTGAGTCAGTTTGATGGAGTGTAAAGTGCTGTATTTGTCAGTCAGAAGTAGCTGCATCCCTTGCATTCGATCTTCTTTCAGTTTCGGGTTGATGCCAAGTCTGCTAATTAGGGCTATGTCAAAATGATGATGCCGACATTACTGTAGGAACATTGTGTATTGATGCTTGAGTAATTTTGTTTTGCATAACACAGGCAAGGTGGTTCACTAAAGTGTGAATTATTAAAAATGCAAACACAGCTCACCTTTTTTTTTTTACCCCAGAGAGTTTTTTAAACTAACTGGGCTATTTGGCCTAAAAATCGTAATTTATTTTGAATTCACTATTTGACCTAAAATTCGTAATTAATTTTGAATTCACTCCTGATAACTCACTTTAGTTAATAACACTGATAGAATTTTGAGATTTATTTAGAAAGCAGTTTCTTGGTCTCATCTGACTGCCAAATATTTCAGCATTACAGAAGAGACAATGTTATATGTTGGCATGTATTGCCGATTCATGGTGCTATGTAGCATTCACCCGATTTTTAACCCAATTGTTCTCACTGGTAATATGTGGCCCAAAGTGTTTGGGATCCCTGTCTAATTAGTGCATTTGGCTACGTAGGAAACAATTATAGCTGGTTTGCATATACAATCATTCATTATTATTTTTTATTATTACTGGTATTTTTATAGCACCAATTTATTTCACATTGCTTACTCATCCAGTGATATTTCATTTAGACATTGGTAGTAGAATATCTTAGATTGCAGAGCCCAGTCATTGACTTTCAATTTGGCTCTTATAGATCTACTGTAAGTGCTGTATTTCATGGTCAACCTGCTTCTGTGTAATGTAAATGTCTAGAAGCAACAACTGCAAAGTGACGCTCACAAAACAGAACTGTAGAGTGTTGCGTATGTAGTGAATAGCTACTGTCTGTCCTCAGTTGCAGCGTAAACTACCAAGTTCTTTACTGTTTCTGACAGCAGTGGAATATCTGCTTGTCTGGAGTTTTATAGAGAGGATGTCTTTAGCCAAATAGTCAAACATGAGTCTAAGGACCCCATGAACAATGGCAAGCATTGGTCAGAGTCAGGGCCGGATTAACATGGGGTGATGGAGCTGCAGCTCCAAGCCAATGCCTATGAAATAGGTCTATTGATTTAAAAAAAAATATATATATTTTCTTTTACACACTACTCTTAGTGTTGCCACCTGGTCGGTATTTATTTGAGGCTGCCTGGCCAGTGCCAATATTACAGTAATACTGGCAATACAAATGCTGGTATTTTTCTCCGTATAAACAAAGATTACTCTGCTATACCAGCACTGGTCAGTAGGAGTTGCTGTGTGTGTGGAGAGAGGCAGGGATAGGAAGTTACAGCAGATACCTGCATCTCTCTACTCACTGATCCGCGGGGGAGCAGCTACACAGTGCAGAGAGTCCAGACAGTAGCTCCCAGCCTGCAGAGACAGCCTACAGCTCAGGGAAGGGAGGGATGGGGTAAAAACTGCAGGGAAACGTGGACACTGAGACACTAGGGGACATTGTGAGACATGGGGACACAGGGAGACCTCTGGGGATGCTGAGACACCTGGGGACACTTGGAGACACGGGGACACAAACAAACATGGGGACACTGAGACATGTGGACACTGAGACACTAGGAGACACTGAGACCTGGGAACACTAGGGGACGCTGGGAGACATGGGGAAATAGACACACATGGGGACACTGAGACACTTGGGACACTAGGGACACAATGTCACCAAGTGTCTCAGTGTCTCCCAGCCAGTGTCCCAATGTCTCCCAGTGTCTCCATGTCTCTCAGTGTCCCAATTGTCTCTGTGTTCCCATGTCTCCCAGTGTGCCTAGTGTCTGTGTGCCCATATCTCCCAATGTCCCTAGTGTCTCAGTGTTCCCATTTCTCCTATTGTCCACATGTTTCCCTGAGTGTCTCAGTCTCCCCATGTCTCTTAGTGTCCCCTAGTGATGTGAGGACACTTAGAGACATGGGGACACAGACACTGGGGGACACTGGATGACATGGGGACACTGGGCAACATGGGGACACAGTGACATGGAGACACTGGGAGACATGGGGCACTGAGCCACTGATACATTGTGACACTGTGGTAAATAGTCTGTGTCCCCCAGTGTCCCCAAGACTCACAGTGTCCTCTAGTGACATGGGTCACTGGGATACATGGGGACACAGGGAGACTTGGGAGCAATCCATCTATACAGCAGAATCAAACTGTGAGTCATTTTTTTGGTAATTTTACAGAATTTCTTATGTCACTCCTTGTGAATTACATCATGTGATGTCACGCATACATAATTAGTTATGCAAATTAGTAAGGCCTGTATTTTTTTCCAAGAAAGGTGGCAACCCCAACTACTCTTCACATGCTCTTGTTTAAGTATGGAAACTTAAGAGGGAAACAAAACTTGTGTGGACTAGCTGAAATGAAATTAGTTAAGGTAATGCTGACTTTGGTCTCCCTAACACTGTGGCATGTTCCCTTTCTTCTACACTCACTACATCCACATTTTCTCTGTCTCAGACTGTATACCAGGAGCTTCTGTATGCTAGTAAGAAGGTAAGGAGACAAGTGGACATGTGAGTGCTAGTGGACCGTCCTTAGAAAGCGTTGAGCGAGTGCATCTTTATACGCATTTATGCCAAGCTCAGGATGCTGTTGGCCAGCATGCATGATTAGCAGGCAGCCTGACATGCATTCATGCCAGGCTAGCCTTCCAATTCTTTGGGCAGACATGCCTCCTTTTTTGGAATGATCGGCCCTTTCGGGAGTTCTGTTTACATGATCCGCGTCAGTGGCCCACCCTTTTACACCGCCCATTGATTTCCTGCTTCACTGGACACTGCTGTTAGGGAGTATGGATTTACTTGAAAGATGAAAGCATGAATAAGAGAGACATTAGCATATTTTAAGAGAATCTGAGTTTTCTTATAGCTGCATCCTACGAGTTTCCGTCCGGCAACATCTCCACCAGATACAAAACGCTTGAGAGGTATGACCGTTTTAGTGTTTTTGGTTGATAAGATTCTGTATTTAGGCCCCTCATAATTGTCAGCACCAGGCTCACTGGGCTCTTAATCTGGACCTCGTCAGAGTGATGTAGCCATTGCTTCCTTTGGATCTTGCAGCAATGGAAATATATTATTTGCAGTGGGCATTGCCATCTGCTAATCTGATCTATGTCTCTTGGCTTGGTATTTGGCAAGAGAGAAGGTTATGTATAGTCCATTTACCTTTAATTTGGGTGCGAAGGTTTGAGGTAAGGTGTGTCCATGTGTGTATGTATAAGGTGCTGTTTGTATAGGTTGGCATGTATGCTAGTTTACACTGTACTGATTTGTATTGTTTATTTTTGTCAATCTAAGTAGACGTGGAAAGCCTGAGCTCCTGAAATATAGCCTGGTTTTGGGGCCAGGGGACCCCGGGCTAGTACACTCTAACTAAAGTCAGCACTCACTCACCCGAAGAGCCCGGGAGTTCGGCTGCGGCCTACCTGGGACGAAGCTGTGGGGGATGCGGCCGATCCACCTGAGCTGCGACCCGGGGCCTGCAGGCGAAGAATGCCCGACGAATAATGTTGCCATTTTGCTAAGGATGGGAGTTGGTTAACTCTGAGGGGGGACTGTCACATAAGCCTTCTGCCACAAGAGCAAAGCAGCTGAGTTAAAAATCCCTCTGCATCAGCCATTCGCCAGGGACATGTTTTCTTATACTTTTCATGTCTCCAATATGCTTTTCCTTGTTTATGGTTTAATACTAGCTTCTTCTTTTCTCTATTAATCGACACTAACCCATTGCCCAGAGCAACAATGACATGCAATATACACTGCTCACTTGTCTGAGGCTATTAATCTGCTACTTATCTGTTATTTACCTGTTGATTGCTACTATACAAAAAACAAAAAATGTGCCGATTTTCTTAATGCTCCTATTGCTAAACCTGAAAATAATCTTGAGGATTGCTATTGGGACACCCTGAGAATGTATGTCATTATCATTATGCACAAATAAAGAAAATATTTACTATTAAAAAAAAAAAAAAGAAAGAAAATGTTTCTTTGAAGTTGTACATGTATGTCGAAATTTCATAGAATTTAGGTTATTTTTTTTCTCAGTAAAACCAGAAATACTGTGACACTGTGTTCCCCAGGATCTTCTCCTTCGAGAGTTTAAAAAAGCAAAGTATTCTATTTTCAATTCCCTTTTTCATTTCATTTTTTAAATTAAATTATTTTTATAATTAATTATTTAAATTATTTAATAAAGATTGCAATCCTACCCACTTGCAGGCACAACTATGCAGTGTTACCAACTTCACAATTAGCACACAGGAGCAGTTAGCATGTTATAAGGTAATTTGTAGCTTAGTACACCCTTAGGGTGCAGTGCCAGGATTTAGTGAGATCAAAAGGGTTTTTCTACGAATATCATTGAGTTCTTTGTTAACTTACTCAAAATTCACCCACCTACCCCCCTTTTCCCCACTAATAAACTAAGCCTTAAATCCTCACTGAACTCGTGTGACCGCCTTGTGCTGGTGAACAAACTCTATCAATGCTACGGGTTTTTATTTTCATTGAAATAAATGAAAATATGTTGAATGTCCCTAGTAACCCAGTTTTACCAGACGTACATGACATTATGTCAATTACCACACAGCACTGACAACTGACATCCTGCAGACTGACCAAGACGCTACTGGTTTCATGTATTTTCCTATTTAAATGGTAATTAAGAATTTGACAGAATTGTTTTTGCTTTTAAAAGTGGTCATGGAGAAAGACATTTGTTTGTGCGGCATT